TGGGTTCTTGGCTAGCTGGATGCAGTTTGCACTTTACCATCACACACTTATGTTCTTGAGCAATATAAATTAGTGTGTGTGTGTGTGTGTGTGTGTTAAGAAGGTTGAAGATAAATCTGTAGTCCCACCATCCTCAGAGTGCATGACATGCAACACAATGGTCGTTAGTACAAACAGAAATTTGAGAATGGTAGAATATTAGTCTTATATGATCAGTTGTAGTGATTATGACACTGTGGTAGTGTGTGCAGTACTGTGAGTGAAATACTTTTTTTTTTTCTAATTTCATGTAATTTTTATGCTCTAAATTATTTTAAAGCAGGAAATGCTGCCAGTAAGATCTGTGATTACTGGTTTGTATAGAGAAAGGCTGACAGGAATAAGGAGGGTTTTATAAAATGAGACCTGGATTTTTATCATCACTATATTTTCTATTTTTACCTCTATTGTGAATCACTGGGTACAGCAAAATACATCCAAAGATCACATTTCGACTCTTTAATGCTGTTTGTCAAACAGCATTAAAGACTCATCAGAAATTACATAAAAAAAATATGTATTTTATATTTCTTGCATGCTTTTTCTCTCCCAATCCTGAGTGGAATACTGATGAGGTATTGGATCTCAGCAGCTATGAATAATAAACACTCTTACATCACCAGCTGAAAGAAGAGGAGAGGAACAAATAGAACAAAATCAAAGAATTTGTGACCACAGAAGAGAAAAACAGAGTTTATTGTTTGTGAGCAGTGGGCATTTTGGTTTGTTGTAGCAGGAAATGGACAAGTTGATGACACTTAAAACTGAGTCCCATTTAAGAAAGCTAATTGTCATGTGCACTTCATTTACTCTCACAGAATCTGAAATGAAAAGTTTTGCTGCACCTAGAACTTTGCTGGAGAAGATGGAGAATTATATTTCTTTTGGTGATTAGAATTAGCTAAAAGCTACAGTTGTCAGATAAATGTACTGGGAATATTCAAGCGCAGTCCTCAACAGCAGGTTTGTCCAATGGATAGCTTGAAATGGTACAAATGTAAGTGGTGAACTGCCAGAGATTGAAAAAAATAAGCTAAGGTTACCTAAAACTGAAAAATAATCTACATTTCAGAATTATACAAAAAAGCTTTTTTCAACGAACACAAAATGGGTCAACAATGTAAAGCTGTTCTGCAGCTATGAAGGTTTATCAAGTCTTGAAAGCTGGTGCTACTAATTCCTACAGGTGTTCCAACTTTTCAGGATTACTTACCACCCCCTCTGTCTGCATAAGGGTTTATGTTGGAACACACTGTTGCAGCATACCCTCATTAGTATCAATGGAACATTATTGTACTGCAGAACAATAGTTCTCTGTGTTGCTACAAAAATGACAAGAAAAAGGCAATTAACAATGAAAGAGAGACAGACCATCATAACACTTATAAATGCAGGTCTTTCCTACAGAGAAATTGCAAAGAAAGTCAAGGTGTCAGTGATTCCAGTTTCCTTCACCATAAAAAGGAAAAGAAACTGAATCAGAGGGTGAGTTTTTGAGAGTTAACAGGTGGCTCAAAGCACAACAGCTTCAAGCACAGCTTAATAGAGGTCGTAGTGAGCAAGTTTCATTGTCAACTGTCAAGAGAAGACTTTGAGCTGCAGGTTTGACAGGATGAGTTGCAGCAAGAAAGCCATTGCTAAGATGTCAGAATAAGACAAAGAGGCTTTTCTGGGCCATTAAACACCATCATTGGACTACTCAAGTCTGGAAGAAGGTATTACGGACTGATGAATCAAAATCTGAAATCTTTGGTTCATCACTCAGGATCTTTGTACGCCGTAGAGTAGACGAAAGGATGGTTCCACAGTGTGTGGCATCAACTGTCCAACATGGAGGAGGAAGTGTGACGGTCTGGGGCTGTTTTGCTGGATCCAGGGTCGTTGACTTGTACAGAGTGAGAGGATCACTGAACCAAAACAGCTACCACAGCATTCTGCAGCGCCATGCAATACCCTCTGATATGCGCCTAATTGATCAGGGGTCATCCTACAGCAAGATAATGACCCAAAACATAAGTCTATGCCAGAACTACCTTAGGAAAAAAAAGAACAAGACAGTCAGTTGAAAACATGGAGTGACCAGCACAGTCTCCAGACTTAAACCCCATCAAACTGGTTTGGGATGAACTGGACAGAAGAGTGAAAGCAAAGCAACCTACAAGTGCCACACAATTATGGGAATTTCTGCAAAAGATATGGGAAGAAATTTCTTAATAATATTTGTTATTACTAATAGTTTTATTAATGTTAATATTGAATATTTATTTCTATTGTAGAAAGAATGCCACGGGTGTGTGCAGCTGTTAAATCTGCCAAAGGTGGTTTAGAATACATTTTGGTCTATAAATTTATTCCACAATTTCTCTTTTTAACTCAAATTGCTTATTTGTACTATGCTTTCATTTCAGAGTGTAATGAAATCTTAAACTGTCTAAATTTCAATTAAAAACTGGAACAATTGGGGTGTTCTAAAACTTTTGACCAGTAGTGTGCATTCAGTGGGCTACATATTCTTCATCACTGCTTGTGGTGTGAGTGGTAGTCTCTTCTTCAAACCGTCAGCTTCGCTTTTCTAATAAATTTTTCTTCCTCTCCTCCAAATTTTTTTGTTCCTCTTTCTGTTTTTTTCCTTCTCTGTGTTTTCTTCCACCCTCTAATTTCTCAGCTGAAAAGGACAAAGCACTATCAGCTGCTTTAATCCTATCACTATACAAAAGTTCAGATGAAAGCAAGAACATACTGCAGAACATCTGATGTGTGTGTGTGTGTGTGTGTGTGTGTGTGTGTGTGTGTGTGTGTGTGTGTGTGTGTGTTGCTGTTTTCACAGTTTTCTTATGGAAGCAGATAAATGAGATTCAAACCACTGCAGGGTGATTATTTAAATACCTGTTCTGTGTTCTATCAAAGGAGGTCAGGACAAGTAATCAATTAGTACATTGACCATAAGCTCACTAGTATTTGTTTTCAACTGAGTTCAATTTTATTTATATAGCAGCGAGTCACAACAACAGTTGCTTCAAGGCACTTTATATTTGAAGGTTAAGACACTACAATAATACAAAGAAAACAGACAGAACCCCAAAAGTCATATACCCCCTTTGAGCAAGTGCTTTGGTGACAGAGGGAAGGAAAAAGTACATTTTAACAAGAAAAAACCTCCTGTAGAACCAGGGTTGGGGAGGGACAGCCAGAAGCAGAAAATTAGAGGTCATCTGTGTCTTTATGTCTTCAAGAAGACATTCCTGCAGTTTAACTAATTGGTGTGTGTTATCTGGCTTCATGGATAGATAAAGTTATGTGTCATCTGCACAGCAGTGAAAATGTTATGCTATAACTTTTAATGATACTGCGTAAGGGAAGCATGTATAATGTAAACAGAACTAGTCCTAGCACAGAACCCTGTGGAACTCCATAATTATCCTTGGTTTGTTCACGTACATGGAGAGTCCTCTTCACACACTGAGCCATAAGAAGATAAGAAGCCATAAGAAGGCAGCCAGCAATTTAAGGAGAACATGCAGCTGTGGTAAACTCTAAATGCTGAATGTAACTCTTTGAATAAACTGCTCTTTTGTAGATGATCAGTTAATTTAAAAAGCCTTTGCTTTTTAAAAAAGTGGTGTAATTATTGCAACCTTAAAAGCATGTGATACAGATCTCTATAAAGATTGATCATATTTCAGATTAAAGAATGAATTAATGGTAGGATCTGGAGTCAAGTAGATATGTTAATGGTTTGGAGGAAGTAATTGAAGTGACTGAAAAATCACTGAGGAAAGACAATACAAGTAAATATCAGCAGTTCTTTATTTTAAAAGTGGTTGTACCTAATGATGTATCTGAGGAATGGTTGGTTCTTTATGGTTAATTATGAAGAAATTTGTGAAGTCCTCACTATTGCTCTGGGTAGCTCCCCAACTGGGTCTAGACTGGGTCTAGAGAGTACTTTAAATTCAGGGAATTTAAAATAGAAAGTAGCTCGTCCACAGAAGGACTGGTAGCTCCCCTTGCGATAAGGGTTCAGATCGCGCGAACAGGTGTGAAATGTGTGTGTTTAGTTAGTTTGTTTGTTTGCTTGTTTTAATCAATTTTAAATCATGCTTTTTATTTGTTTTTGTTTCTAATGTCTCTGTAAAGCAATTTGAATCACCTTGTTGTTGAATTGTGCTATACAAATAAATTTGCCTTGCCTTGCCTTGCCTATTTCAAGTTAAAGGAATACTCGGCTAAACAGAGCTCTGATTCCTTGTCAGCCTCTTTGCAGCACTGAAGAGAAACCTGGGCTTATTCCTATAGTTGTGAGGGAGTGCTATGGGCTCAAATTGTGGTCATAAATATTTTGTACTTGTAAATCAGGATTTATATGTGTAAAAAGAATTTGTGTGTGCGTAAAAAAGATTTGTGTGTGGACATAGCCAAAAAATACGTGTGAAACGCTGCACTCAGGTTTCAACTTACAAGTATGGATTTTGACCCGATTTTTCTTCCTTTCAGCTGATTGGTCAATGTCATGTCAATCACAAATTTAACTATCGAATCAGAGAACAGATGGGTTTGGCTGTCTGAGGGGCGCTTTTCTGAACTGCAGGTCCTTGAAGGGTAATACCGTTTGAGGCTGGAGGATCTTTATATAAATATCCCATAAGGCTCATACAAGCTAGGTCCTTTAACGTTTGGTAGCTGTTGAAAGGGTACAGTTGTGGTATACCAGTGGTCAGAAACACTATTACTGTTCACATCTGCTCAAACAACTTTCATTAAGTGGGAAAATGAACCAGAGTCGATTTAAACTGACTAAACACCCTAAGTGGAATTCTGCTCTTTTATGAATTTCACTTTTCCCTCGTGTTTTGCACTCATTACAAAACATCATGTAGAAAACCTAACATCCATGAGCTTTTATTGTCACGTTGAAGTGAGGTTTCTGACACTCTCTGTTACTTTCTTGTTCTCTTTCTTAGAAACCTGTCCAAGAACCCCATGTTGACCACGTTGTCCTGGCAGATCTTTGAACATCTGCCGCTTTTGGAGCTGTAAGTAGACCCATGTCTTTTTCTTAGTTCATTGCTGCTGACACACAGTAGACCTGAATACATCTGCAAGGAAATGGGTTGATGTCTTTTTCAACCGAGTTAATATGATCAGTGAATTGTGTTATGTCCTGAAATGGCACCTCAGTGGCACCTTTTCTACTCTAGACTCAAAGCACTTTAAACAACACACTTCATTCACCCATTTACAAACATTCATACAAGCAATTTTATCTACACCTAAGTGCTTTCTAGCTAACATTCATGCATTCAAACATTGCCCAAGGATATTTGGCATGCAGAATGGAGACTGGAGCAGCTAGAGATCGAACTACCAACCTTAAAGGGAACATGAAATGCTCCACACATACAGGCTAATATACACCCTTAAGCTCTGCTCTCAAAAATGAACAGTGTCTGTGACGCTGGATTTAAGAAATCAGTGCCCGAAGTTAAAGTTTGAAAAACATGCATAGCGCCATCTTCTGTCAGTACAACGCCACAACATGACGTCATGCGGTTGGTTGGTTGTGGCTAATAGACTTACATTAGTTTGTTCGCTAACTAGTGACATAATCGATAACTCAAAGTAAGAATTCTTCCTTTTAACTGGCTATCCAAACATTCATTAAAACCATCAGCATAATAAACAAAGTGGAGTCGATCATGTTCGTTATAGCTGCATTTTCCATTTCATGCCATAACCTGGTGATAAATTTAGAGGTTTTCTTTGTGTTTGTTTGTTTTTTGTTAAATGACCCGCTGAACTCTGAACATTGTAATGCTGGAATAAAAACTACTTCTTGAGTAGTTGCTGGATGAAGGACAGAATGCTATATAACCTCGAGATTATGATCTATATTAACTGATAAAAATGTGCTTAAGTTTCTGTATAATCAGTTTTCATTAGTAATGTACTTTGTTGTATTGCAGTCTTTAGGATAACCATAATTTTTACTTCAGGTTAGCTGGGATAACTGATGGATGGAGGAAATTTTTCTGCAGTCATAGAAATGCTGAACATAGAGAAGGAAATGAGTTACACGGCAGATTAATAAAGGAAAATAAGAGGAATTTAAGTTTTATATGATAGTCAGATTTACTTAATGAGGCAAATTGTTGTGATGTCCCAATCACAGGGTGATATACTAACAATGCACTATAATTTACTGTGTATACAAAGATGCAGGGAGTTCACTTCAGTAAAACCAGCATTCTGCAGAAAGAATACAAATTAGTGGTTCAAAACTCATCCAAGACCCACTAAAAGGTCTATTTCGGTTTTTTGATCAAATCCGATTTTTTTTTTGTCTGGTTGGTCACACTACAAATAAAATGTGACAGCAAACGCGCGCTAGTGTGAACGGTTCACGGCCCTCAAAGCGGCCCACATGAGGAAAAGAAGACGTCACACACAACCCGCTCTGTTTACAGAAGTAAAAATGGTGGCTACAGAGCTAGTAGGTGTTGTAACCGACAGAATTTTGACAAATTAATTAGAGAAAGAAGGACACTGAGAAAAAAGTCCGTGCTTTAACAATAGCCTTGTTTGGAGCAGTGGCTGCTACCTCAGAGGTTTATATGGACACGGAGTCATTTAGCTTGAATAGAATTGTCTCCCCATATGTTTTTTTTTTCCCCCATATGTTAATCAAGTCCAAAACCTCAGTTTCTGTCCATTGACTTGCTCCGTCTCCAGTTTCCGCCGCCATGCTTTCTCATTTGTCTTCTCCGGCGCTGATAATTGGCTTCTGTCTTGTGTCAGTAACATAAAGGACGGATTTAATGCGACATGACCATTCAAACAGCAGTTGCTTTCTAAAACATCAGATATGTATCGGATTCAGTACTAGGGGTGGGTTTTTATAATCGATTTATCGATTAAAATCGATTCTGGCTTGGATAACGTAAAATCGATTCATTAAAATCCTGAATCGATTTTTTAATATTAATTTATTTTGCCCGAAATGCCAGAATCTCAGGTGAAAGATCACAAAAGTTCAACAACCACCAAACAGCTAAGACAGTAAATGAGAGCAGGTACACGGCTTCTGCACAAAGACGTAAACACACAGCGCCGACGGATCAGAATCAGTGAGATGTCGCCTTTCTCAGCTGACAGTCGGGGCTGAAAGCCGACAGCTCGCTGATTCTGATCCGCGGGTCCGCGCTGTGTGTTTACGCCCTTTTTTTAGCTCCCCAACTGGGTCTAGAGAGTATTTTAAATTCAGGGAATTTAAAATAGAAAGTAGCTCGTCCACAGAAGGACTGGTAGCTCCCCTTTCGATAAGGGTTCAGATTGCGCGAACAGGTGTGGGATTAGAGCTCTGGGTAGCTCCCCAACTGGGTCTAGACTGGGTCTAGAGAGTATTTTAAATTCAGGGAATTTAAAATAGAAAGTAGCTCGTCCACAGAAGGACTGGTAGCTCCCCTTACGATAAGGGTTCAGATCGCGCGAACAGGTGTGAAATGTGTGTGTTTAGTTTGTTTGTTTGCTTGTTTTAATCAATTTTAAATCATGCTTTTTATTTTTTTTTTATTTCTAATGTCTCTGTAAAGCACTTTGAATCACCTTGTTGTTGAATTGTGCTATACAAATAAATTTGCCTTGCCTTGCCTTGCCTTTTTGCGCTGATCATATGGCTGTTAGTTTTATCTCTCTCCAAACAATATTGACCGAACCAGCAGCAAAAGAAGATCCAAACCACGCTTCACATAAACATCGTCATGAATTCCCTCTGACTTTTGCTGACTTTTCAGGATAAAAATCACACTTCATGCACAGCTCTCTCTCTCTCTCTCTCTCTCTTTTCTGTATTATTCGCTTGCTTGTTACGCACCAGTCTACTGTTGTTTACAGGCTGTCGGCCGACGTTTTTTTTTTCCCTTTTACTTACTTCCGAAAAGTAAACCTAATTTCTGCCGTTCAATATTGAACAAATTTAAACTTTTTAAAATTAAGCAAAATGCAAAACGCTTAGCCGTGTCTCTAATAAAACCGCTGTAACTTCAGAGGTGATGTTCATATGTTGAAGAATGGTTTTCTTTCGTTTTTGATGTACTGCAGAATATTTTTATAAAATCCCAGAACAGGAAAATCACCTTCATGTTTTTCTGTGTTTTATCTTCAGCTACTTTGACACAAAGGCCTCTGCTGTGACGCTCACACCTTTGATAAAGTCTTGCGTGTGTCAGCTTCCTTTTAATAGATACAAAAATATGTAAATGTGCTGATCTGAATTATAATATTTCTGACTGTCAAAATTTCCCAGAATCGAATCAAATCGAATTAAATCGAATTAAATCGAATCGTGGATCGAATCGATTCGGGACCTTGTGAATCGGAATTGAATCGATTCTAGAAATCAGTGACGATACCCAGCCCTATTCAGTACCACATACGAAAGTGACCCAGGTCGGATTTGAAAATATTGGATTTGTGCTGTTCAAACTGTCATACCATGACCGGAAATGGGTCGCATAGGATCAAAAATGGCGGATTTGTTGCGCTTTTGCCTGCAGTGTGAACGTAGCCTTTGTCTGATCCTGAGACACCAGCAACTTAGACTTTAAGTTTGCAGATGATACAAAGGCCATGTTTTATTACATTTTCACTCTTCTCAGTGGTTGATCCTCCTTTTGATTTTTGACTCTCTCATTTTATTATCCAAATCATTTTCAGGTTTTGAAGTTTTTTTGTGTTTTTCTTTTTGCGTTTAAGTTTATAGTAGTGTATCCAGAACTTGTCTGCAATATTTTCAGAAGGTTTATTTGTTTAGGAGAGAATTGATACATATCATGCATTTTGTCTGCTTACCACAGATAGCCATGGCAAGCAGTATTTTCAATAGTGCCAACTTTTTACCCCTCCGTCATAAAAGACCGATGGTGTCATCACCCCATCAGTGGCGTAGACACCTAAATTCTGAATATGATAACTGGAGAATGCAATGTAGGAGCTTCAAATTGATACCACAAGTGCATCTAAAGAAAAATCTCTAGATGGTGCAAGACTGCATCCAGTAAAATAAATATTACATTATAATAATAGGAATATAGAAGATCAAAAAGTTTAAAGAACAGATTACAAGCTTTTGCTGATTTGGCCAATCTTATGTTTGAGGCTTTGTGAGAATAACCCAATATATTATCTCTCCCTATTTGCTTCTCTCTTATCTGTATTCTTATCTATAAAGTTTCAGCATGGCAAATTTGGTAAGCGATGAACAAAAAATAGTTTTTGTACAGTGTTTTTTACAGTGTGCTCTGAGATAGGCATGAGATGATGCCATACATCATTTCCTCTGAAGGTTCTCCCTCAGACACCTTAGAACATGACATTAGAAGAGAACACTGACATTCTCACTCTGGGGGATAAGGTCATGCTGCACAACCCAATGTTGAAAAAACCCAAAAGATTTTAAAAAAGAAACTGACCCAAATATGGTGTAGAGTAGGGCTGGGCCATATTATACCGTTCACGGTAATACCGGTATAATGTTAGGCAACGATAGGAAAATGAAATATCGCGATAGAATATGAGTAAAACGAGCATGCGCAGAGCCTTTGTTTTCATATGCACATGGCCGATTGTTGAGTGAAACAGATGAACCAGATTTGGTTTGTAAAAATGGTGCAACTTCAGTGATGTGGAACTGGTTTGGTGTTTGTCCATCAGATACACAACAAAGCACATTTTTTTGCAGAACATGCAAGCGGCCGTCGTTATTGTCGTATTTGTCGGACTAAGATGCTCTTAAATCTGGGAGTAATCTGGGTCCTAAACTCCGTATCGTTCAGGTCAAAAGAACACTGCAGCATCACTGAGAGTTTAAAAACTGTCTAAATTCTTTCATCTTTAATAAAACGATCAGAATTGCTGCTTTACCAGGTGTATCTATGAAGTTTAACTTCCAGGCATCCATGAAAACAAAATTTATTACATTTAACAGAGTTAGAAGTTAGCAGGAAGCTAGCGGACGTTAGCTCGCTAGTTTCGCTAGTTACCTAAGCATGATATTGCATGTTCTGACTGAGAGATTTCTGAAAAAATTCAAACGTACAGCTCTGCTATCACTTCCAACATAAATGAAGACAGGAAACTAAACAGCAGTGACGTTTGTAGGGTTACTGAAGTTGGGCTAGCTGGTATACAATGATGTGCTACGTGATCGCTAGCGACACAGCTACGTTAGCATAACATAAACAGTGAAGCTGGAGGACAAACACTAACACTTTTCCACTTATAAAAGTTAACATGAAGGCTCCTCATGGTTAGAGACAAATGCAATCGCATGGCAGGATGCTGTAAACGGACCAAACTTCAGTCAGGAGAACAACTGAGATAATCCATCCACAATACGAGGTTAGTCATTAATATACTGCAACAACATGGGAATAGAGCCGCTGCCAGAGAATTCAACATTAATGAATCAAAGGTACAGAAGTGGAGGAAGCAAGAAGAATGAGTTTAATAAAGTTTGATTTATCTGACTGCTTTGTTTCGATTAATGTGCCTTATAATCCCGCGCACCTTATGGTCCGAAAAATACGTACTGCACGCTGCAGTTTAATGTTGCAAAGCACCTCTTTTTAACTTCAGTGGATATTATACATGGTTATGCTCAGGATATGTCAGCCCATTTCTACTGGAAATGCCCTTTGGTTAAACTTTCAGCAAGGAATTTGCATTTGCACTGTTACGTTTTTATAAAGCTTTAATGTACATAAAAAACAGCTTCTTGTTTAAGTGAAAATAAATGGAAGGTTGTCTTTTTGCGCTAGTAATGTTGTGGAGTTGTATTTTGTCTCCCATCAATTATATCGTCAGTTATATCGTTATCGCAAATTTTCATATATATATATCGTGATAAATATTTTTGGCCATATCACCCTGCTCTAGTGTAGAGGATCATCATTGGTGATGTTGGTTTAAAGCAGAGGTTAATACAAATGTATTAAATGTTTATTCCCATAAACAAATAATGTATTGATAGTTTCCTTTTTAACATTCTCCATTTCTTTTAAGTGTAATATAGAAATGTTTTCAGACAATAATGATAACTAGTGATCAAAAGATTTGACAATGATGCACAATTATTGATATAAATATACCATTTTGTAAAGAACTGGCACCAAATAAGTAGCTTTTGAGCATCAAACCGGACACATCTCCCCATCTGTTTTGTAGTGCTTGTAAAAAATGCAGCCGTGTATTTATTATTTAATAGCACATTTAATTCAATTTTATATAGCGCAAAACCACAACAACAGTTGCCTGAAGGTGCTTTTTAAGATAAAAACCCTACAATAATAGAAAACCAAAACAATCAAGCACTTGGCAAAAGTGGGAAGGAAAAAATTCCCTGTCAGATGAAAAAAAAACCTCTGGCAGAAGGTGCAGACATCTGATGCAAAAGACAGAAATTAATAATAACTAAGAGTAGAAAGAGGCAAGTAAAGAAGAAGCGCCCAGTGCATTATGAGAAACCCCAAGAAGCCTGGGAGGATTCAGAGTCACCTGATCCAGCCCTAACTATATGGTTTAGGAAAAAGGAACGATTTAAACCTAATCTTAAAAGTTGAGAATGTGTCTCCCTCCCACGTCTAAACTGGGAGCTGGATCCACAAAAGAAGAGCCTGAAAACTGAAGGGCAAAATATTTCCAAGCATTTTGAATACAAATTTTTCAAGTGATTTCAAGTGAAGGAGCTTCAAGAAAAACCTGATAATAATGAATTACAGTAGCCCAGCCTAGAAGTAATAAATGCATGAACTAGTTTTCCCCACAGCTGTCAGACTCCTGAACTCTGCCTCCTGACATCTGACCCATGTTATCACATGGACTGGACATACACACACCCACAACCACCTACACACACAATGGACAATTGTACCCTCATACACACAATAATAACATGGACTGAACCACCACTCACAACCACTTGCACTTTATATAGCCTCTGTAGACATTATCCACATATCTCACTTATCTTAACTGCACTACTGTATAATTCTGTGTAAATAATCATTCTGTACATACGATAAATTTTAAATCTACAACTGTTTATAACTTGCATAGTTCACATTTCTGTATAGCTGTATAGCTCATATTTCTGTATAGTTTTTCATATTTATATCCTGTTTATAGCCGGTACATAGCTTGTACTCAATACAGCCTGTACATACTTATAGTTATAGCATATTCATAACATACTTCATACCGTGTACATTATAACATACCATAATAGACCCATTTCTGTAATATACTCACATATCTATATTATTGCTAATATATACTGTAATATATCTATATCATGGCTAAAGCACTTCTGGATGAATGCAAACTGCATTTCGTTGCCTTGTACCTGTGACATGTGCAATGACAATAAAGTTGAATTCTAATTCTAATTCTAGTTTTTCAGCATCCTTTTGAAACATGATATTTCTAATTTTAGAGATATTACGCAAATAGAAGAAAGTAGTCCTACAAATTTCTTTAATATGTGCATTGAAGGACATATCCTGGTCAAAAAGTATTCCAAGATTCCTCACAGTGTTACTGGGCCAAGGTAATGCCATCCAGAGTAAGTATCTGGTTTCTAATAAAGTTGGGTATCATCTGTAGAGCAATGAAAATGTATCCTATGCCAGGGGTGTCGAACTCCAGACCTCGAGGGCCGGTGTCCTGCAGGTTTTAGATATCCCCCTGGGTCAACACACCTGAATCAAATGACGAGTTCATTACCAGGCCTCTCAAGAACTTTAAGATATGTTGAGGAGGCAATGTAGCCATTTAAATCGGCTGTGTAGGATCAAGAACACATCTAAAACCTGAAGGACACCGGCCCTCAAGGCCTGGAGTTCGACACCTGTGTCCTATGCCAATGAATGGAGGAAAGATTGGGTAACAAAAGGTTTTTAAATACCGTATTTTTCGGACCATAAGGCACACAGGATTATAAGGCGCATTAAGCAAAACAAAACAATCAGATAAGTCAAACTTTACTCAACTCATTCTTCTTGCTTCCTCCACTTCCGTACCATTGATTCATCCATCCATCCATCTTCATCCGCTTTATCCGGGGCCGGGTCGCGGGGGCAGCAGCCTAAGCAAAGAGGCCCAGACCTCCCTCTCCCCAGCCACCTCCTCCAGCTTATCCGGGGGAATACCAAGGCGTTCCCAGGCCAGCCGAGAGATATAATCTCTCCAGCGTGTCCTGGGTCTGCCCCGGGGCCTCCTTCCGGTGGGACATGCCTGGAACACCTCACCCAGGAGGCGCCCAGGGGGCATCCTTGTCAGATGCCCAAACCACCTCAGCTGGCTTCTTTCGATGTGGAGCAGCAGCTGCTCTACTCTGAGCCCCTCCCGGATGGCCGAACTTCTCACCCTATCTCTAAGGGAGAGGCCAGCCACCCTTCGGAGGAAGCTCATTTCTGCCGCTTGTATCCGCGATCTCGTTCTTTCGGTCACTACCCACAGCTCGTGGCCATAGGTGAGGGTAGGGACGTAGATCGACCGGTAAATTGAGAGCTTCGCTTTTACACTCAGCTCCCTCTTCACCACGACGGACCGGTGCAGCGTCTGCATTACTGCAGCTGCAGCCCCAATCCGTCTGTCGATCTCCGGCTCCCTTCTCGCATTACTCGCGAACAAGACCCCGAGATACTTGAACTCCTCCACTTGGGGCAGGAACTCATCCCCGACCCGGAGTGGGCACTCCACCCTTTTTCGGCTGAGAACCATGGCCTCAGATTTGGAGGTGCTGATCCTCATTCCCGCTGCTTCACACTCGGCTGCGAACCGCTCCAGTGCGAGCTGGAGGCCCTCACCCGATGAAGCCAACAGAACCACATCATCTGCAAAAATCAGAGATGAGATTCTGAGGCCACCAAAGCGAAAGCCGTCCGCCACTTGGCTGCGCCTAGAAATTCTGTCCATAAAAATTATGAACAGAACCGGAGACAAAGGGCAGCCCTGGCGGAGTCCATCACCCACCGGGAACGAGTCTGACTTATTGCCGGCAATGCGGACCAAGCTCTTGCAACGGTTGTATAGGGATCGAATGGCCCGTAGCAATGGGCCAGACACCCCATACTCCCGCAACACCTCCCACAGGACACCCCTAGGGACACGGTCGAATGCCTTCTCCAAGTCCACAAAACACATGTAGACTGGTTGGGCAAACTCCCATGCACCCTCAAGTATCCTGGAGAGGATAAAGAGCTGGAATTTCAAGCAGTACAACATTTTGCGGCAACAACAAAACGTGAGACATTTGTTGTTTTTATGTTTATTTATTGTTTTTATGTTCAGTCTCAACTGTTACGAAGTTGATGTGCAGTTAATAAGTGCAATAAATATTTATACTGGAAAAGAAAATCGTGAGAGAATCGTGATCTCAATTCTAAGCCAAAAAATCGTGATTCTCATTTTATGCAAAATCGTGCAGCCCTACTTCACATTAACTTTCATCGAGTAGAAAAAAGTTGTGCTAACATAGCTGTGTCGCTAGCGATCACGTAGCACATCATTATATACCAGCTAGCTGATTTGTGCTGATGTTGGTAAGATTCCAGTATGGTTGTCTTTCTCTAAATTTATGCCAGAAGTTTCTAAAAATATCTTAAATACAAGCTGACTCATTTATTTTAATATAATTACTTGGCTGATTCATTTCACCAGCCTGAAAATGCACAGTTCAAAGGAAATAGACCCAAATAGACCCATTAATGTTCACTGTTACACCAGTCTTTGTTGCCATGGATTCCAGGACTTCCAAACTGGAGTGTGTTCGGCTTAGGCCCGCTGGGGAGCAAGTCACCTCATGGAACATTGCACTTCTTGATTAGATGCTAGTTCTATAGAACTAACATCTAATCAGAACCTTCTTAAAAAGTTTTGAAAATGACAAACGTTCTTGTTCCGCTGGCAGTGAGTCTAAAGGTGAGTATGAGATTTAGAGCATTGCTAATTCTGTCAGTGCTCTTCTCTTTTCAGGCATTTGGAGGATGTGGTGTTCACCTGTGGCTGTGAGATTCGCTGGCTGCAGCTATGGCAACAGAGAGGAGAGGCAGGTCTTAGCAGCCAGCAGTTATACTGTGCTGACAGCTACAGGAGAATATTGCTTCAAGATATGAACATCAGCAGTTGTGGTAAGCTTGTGTGGTTATATTTATACTCTAAATATACACATTAACCATGGTGTTCTGACTGCTGATTCCATTTAATTGCAGCCAGTAAATCTCCAGTAGTTGATTCTGTTCATCTGGATGTAGCGTTTTGTAGGAGAAATGTTTCGTCACTCATCCAAGTGACTTCTTCAGTCCCAGCTGACTGCAGGTTTCATCTTATATACAGTACATTTGCACAATGACTGAAACCAGCCCACTGAAGGAACAATGGGCTGGGAGGTCAGTTCCTTAATCTTAATTATGCAAATTCTCATGACCGTTGATCAACAACCACTGACTAAAACCCACTGATCAAAGACCATTGATCAATGGGTATGAGTACCATTCACCAAGAGTTGGGGAATGGCTGCAATCACAGCATTGTAAGATGGCGAAAGATGTACCCTTAGGCGCTCTCCTCGATTCAGAGATGGTCTTTCCCTTTTCATGTAAATGGCCTCCTTGACTCCGCACTCAAACCAGCGTTCCTCCCTGTCCAAGATGTGTACATCCTCATCATTGAAAGAGTCTCCACGGGCCTGTAGGTGTGAATAGACTGCAGAGTCCTGGCCTGACGAGGTGGCTCTTCTGTGTTGTGCCATCCACTTTGCCAGAGGTTGTTTTGTTTCCCCGATGTATAAATCCTGACAATCCTCCTGGCATTTAACAGCGTAAACTATGTTACTCTGTTTGTGTCGGGGGACCCGATCCTTGGGGTGGACCCATTTTTGGCGCAGCGTGTGTTGGTGTTTAAAAGCCACAGAGACCTGGTGTTTAGAAAAAATGTGTCTCAACTGCTCTGACATGTACGGAATCACTACAGGTTTTCGCTTAAGCAGTGGTTGTCCTTTTCTCCTGGATCGGCTGGAGCTTGCTTTTGGCGCCTTCCCAGCTTTGACAAAAGTCCAGCTGGAATAACCACATTTACTCAGGGCCTTCTTGAGGTGCTGTTCTTCTGCTTCCCTGGCCGCTGTGTCTGTGGTGATGGTGTTCGCTCTGTGTTGTAGCGTCCTGATGACACCCAGTTTATGCTCCAGTGGATGATGAGAGTCAAACCTTAAATACAGATCCGTATGCGTAGGTTTACGGTACACATCAGCTTTTAGATGTCCCCCATTGCTGATGGAAATCTCACAGTCTAAGAAGGCTAACCTGCCACTTTTCATATCCTCCCTGGTGAATTTGATGTGATATGAACAGAATCAGCTATTGGAGATTTACTTACCTGGATGATTGAGCATCCATCAAGATGCAGCCAGTAAAATGATGGTCAGAGCATTTGTCTTTCTTTCAGTAATGCTGGGCATACGCTGTGTGATTTTTGGCCCATTTTGAGCCGATTTTTCAGTCGTGCGACCGACTTCATCGTGTGTCGTGCATCATGTAGTATACATGGGTAACGAGAAGCGATTAACACCTCACGTCCAGCTCCCGATCATCAATCGTTTGGTCATAAGAAAATCAAACCTGTTTGAAATCTTGTCGGCCTCACAAAATTATCACGACTAAAACAACCGTGAAAATAATTGGATGGACATTGCTGCTCAATCACAGCTGCCTGTTCATAGTTTTTTATTAGCAATTTAGCAAGGTTGATGGTGGTGGTGTGCGTGTCTGTGTGAGTGAAAGACAGAGAGGAAGAGAGAGGGAGAGCGAGCGACAGATTTTCTGCTATAACCTTCATGTTATGGACGCACAGTGTGAGCACTCAGGTCGCATCAGAGCCTCGGGCTTTATAGTGTGAGACTCTGCATCGTGACCTACGAACTTCTAACCCCTGCAAGTCAATCATACAGTTTGAGCAGGAGCTGAATAACGCGACTGAAAAAATCGCACAGTGTTTGCACAGCTTAAGTCTGTCGATGCTACTGAGGTATCCCTGTCAACCTCATAAAATCAGCAGAGAGAAAAACTGAACACAGCACCTTTAAACAAAAATGGATAAAAGCCACTAGCTTGAGGATGATGATGATGATGATTATTGTTGTTGTTTTTATTGTTATTAAAAGATAATAATAATAATAATAATAATAATAATAATAGTAATAATAATAATAGAAATGTTGGCAGAAATGTTTTTTACACACACACAAACATACACCATATACTGTATACTAGAAATGCTAGTTGGTTAAATTATTCTTATATGTTCAGTTATCAGTTACCTGTTGGTTCAAAGATCAAAGAAGAAGGCACCTGCCACTGACTGGACCTGCAGCTCCAGCAGATAGCTGTTCTTTCCCCCCCCCTTTGTACACACACAGGCACACTCTTACTAAAGTAATCAAGCAAAACACAATCGTCTAAGAATGTGTATCTCTTTGTTCTTCTTTGTTCCGTCTCTCTGTATTCATATTACCATGGTGCTGTGTTGAGATGCAAGCTGTTGCAGTAGCCCTTGTGTTTATGACTTTGCTACTTAAACACATTTTTTTTCTCATTGGGCTTTTTTTCTTTAATTTAGGTTTTTTTTTAACACTGGTGAGCAAGACCTGGTATTCTAAGGAGAATAATCTGTCTCTTCCGGAGGAGACAATGGGCTTGCATGGGTAAAGCTAAGTGATTCGAAAATAAGAGATGTAACCTGTCCATTCCAGCTAACATCATGGGGAATGTGAGTTCCTTGAGCATAGGATAGATTAAAGAGGGCTGATTATGACACAGAGGGACTACTGTGAGTTTAGTATGTTGTGCATCATCTAAACATGGCTGAACTCACACATCCCAGATGACAGCATTAGTGACTGAAAAATGGTACAATCCTGGACATGTTACTATGTGGGCCAGATATTGATCTGGACGGTGTTAGACTGCATTCATAGTACTTCTTATCGGTTATTGTTGGTGTTGTTTACATTGAACCATCAGCTGATGAAGATGCAGCATGTAACATCACTCTTTCCTCGGTAAAATGCCTGCCAGCCCTGAATTCTGGGGTTTTTATTGTTGTCACTGCAATCCCTCTTCTGACCATCTGACCACAATGTAGTCCTGCTGACACCAAGGTATGTTCCTCTTGCTTAACAACACATTGTATCTACAAGAGTTGTTCATGAGGCTGTGAAGACACTGCAGGTCTGCTTTGAGTCTGGAGCCTGGAAAGTACTTTATAATCTGCATGGAGGAGACATTAACAGTTTCCCTTGCTGCATCACAGACTAACAAAATGAACAATAAGCCTTGCATTGCTAGTGACCAAAAGGAACTACTTAATTAAAGGGTTAAATCCAATATCTTCAGGTTCGGGCACAGAGAAGAACTGAGGAGAATGCAGCATGACCAAAGGGTGAGGCAAAGGAAATGCTAGGACCCTAGGAGAGCTGGACAAGGACGTAGAAGGCCCTTAACCAATCAGTAGGACCAATACCTGCTGCTTTGTGCAAGGAGGAACAGGATGAGCACTGCCAGAGCTACAAAATTACCTCCATCAAGCAACTGATGTGAATATCTTTGACCAAACTATCAGAAACAGAATTAGGAGGGTGGCCTCAGGGCCCAACATCCCCTAGTGGGCCCTGTCCTGACTGCCTGGCACCATGAAGCCCAATGAGCGTTTGCCATTGAGTAATAATAATAATAATAATAATAATGGATTGGATTTATATAGCGCTTTTCAAGGCACCCAAAGCGCTTTACAATACCACTATTCATTCACTCTCACATTCATACACTGGTGGAGGCAGCTACAGTTGTAGCCACAGCTGCCCTGGGGCAGACTGACAGAAGCGAGGCTGCCATATCGCGCCATCGGCCCCTCTGGCCAACATCAGTAGGCAAGTAGGGTAAAGTGTCTTGCCCAAGGACAAAACGACCAGGACAGAGAGCCCAGGGATCGAACCGGCGACCTTCCGGTTACAGATGCAATTCCCAACCCCCTGAGCCACAGTCGCCCAGTACCAGAATTGGCAGCTTCACCTCTGGCATTGTGTGCAGATGAGAGCAGTTGAACCCTGAGCACATGTGACAGATGTGAAAGGGTCTGGAGAAGCTGTGGAGAGCATTATGCTGACGGTAATGTTGTTCAGCATGACTGGTTTGATGGTGGGTCAGTGATGGTAGGAATAGGAGGGACACACAGACCTCTACTTGCTTGGCAACGGCATCCTCACTGCCATTAGGTGTGAGATGAGAATATGCTGGAAATTGCTCAAGGATGAAGGAATTGATACCATTGACTGGGCCCACGCTTGCCTGACATAAATCCAATAGAACCCCTTTGGGACATTATGTTTCAGTCCATCCAATCCCACCAGGTTCCATCTGTCCTGGATCTTAGTGATGCCCTGGTCCACACTGAGCTAGGTCAATTTATTTATAATCAAAATTTAAAAACAAAAAGGGTTAACAAAAGTGTTGTATAAATAAAAGGAATAAAACAGAGCAGGAAAATGCAGAAAAAAACTTAAGACAGACAAGAAAAAAAACATAGTGTCACATTTAAACACAAGGGCGTAAAGATATGGGTGTAAAGATAGGTCTTCAAGTGTTTAAAGGTATTAAGTGTTGGTGAGTTCCTAATTTAAAGAAGCAGACTGTTGCAAATTTTAGGTGCAGCTACAGCAATGGCCTGATCTTTTCTATGCTTTAGTCTGCTTTTGGAAAACCAGAAGAATCTGATCAGCTGACCCTAAAGTTCTATTAGACGTGCATTGTTAAAATTTTGGAAAGGTGAGAGCGTGCTAATCTATTTAAAGACTTAAAATGACAAAAAATTCTAAAATGTACTGGAGGTCAGTCTAAAGAAGTCAAAAAATCAGAAATATGGTCTTACTCTATTTGCATGCACATGTCAGGAGGAGCCCCCTTCAAAATTAGTTGCAAAGAAAAGAAGACCTGACTGATTCCAAAATAAAGGCTGTTGCAGTAATCAAACCTGGATGGAATTAAGGCATGAATTTCTTTCTCGAAGTCAGGAGAGAGAGTCAGAAGGAATTTGTTGCGTACTTGAATTCAGCCCAATGTAGGTTGATCATTTTCATTTCCAACCAATGATGTGACATCCTTTTGTTCCTAACACATTATCAGTCGATATTACTGTAGATATCCAGCAGGGTTTTTTCCTCATTAATATCTGATGTTTTTACAAAGTTTTTTGAACAGTGTATTAGTGATGAGCAGTACAGTAGGAGGTGGATCAAGCACATGTGAACGATTTTGTGAAGTGTTCTTGGAGTAATCATCTGCTTCTGAATGTGAACAGCGCTAGACAACCTAGTGATCTAGTGGTCATTTCAGCAGGAAGAGGATGGCTGCATGGCCTGTGTCTGTGCTGGGACAAGGTGCTGATATGGTGGGGCAAGTACCTGGACATCCACAGTGACAACTTGGTGAACTTGAAACCTAACACAGTTGGAAATTTTAGCCATTTTCAAACATTTAAAAAAAAAAAAAAATCTCTTTGGGGTGGTATCAGATCAGTTTCAGTTTGAATCTCAGTGGTAGAGCATACCCAGGGTGGAGAGAGCAGTGATTAGAGCAGACTTTAATAGACCTGTAGCTGAAGGGAACAGAGGTGATGAGGAGGTATTAGGTAGGTATGGTGTTACGGAGAGATTGTTCAGATGATGGTGGGTTTTGTGAGAAGGATGGAAACAACTTTGGTGAATACATACTTTAAGAAGGAGGAACATAGGATAACATATTTTTCTCTTTCTCCTTCTCTGTATTCCCTTCTCAGACCTACCAGATATCAGCGTCAGCCACAGCAACCTCACAGTTGTCGAAGGTGATCAAGTAACGGCAATCTGTAATGGCTCTGGTTCACCATTACCTGAAGTGGATTGGCCTGTCACTGGCTTGCACTCCATCAATGCACAAGAGGTAGGGAGGGCATGCACAAATTCACAACTTCACAGAGAACGGACTAATCCTAGGCTTGAAATGACGGCATTCCGTAAATTGATACCAAATGGCAGCAGGACGTTCCTTCATAAATAGCTTTTCTATGTCTTCTTGGTATCATTTATTGACATAATTATTACTAGAAAGAGACCACTGTACTCTTTGGATTTATTTTAAAAGTTAGCTTTAGCTACTGATATGAAGGGGTTAATTAACAAAGCTGCAACAACTAATTGTTGTAGCTCAATCACTTGCCTGTTTTTTATGGGAGTTGATTTTAACAATCACGTAGAAGCTTGAAATAACTGCCTCAAGACTACTTTTAATTTAATATTTGAGTCAACAGGCTGTCCTCAAAATTAAAATAAGCTTACTCACAAGTTTAATCGCATTCTGATCTTGTCCTGGGATAGGACATAAAAACTGATCATATACCAAAAAAACCCTCCTTTTTTAATGACCATTTTTGACAACTTTTAAATTTACCATAATCAATAGAATCAGGGGTTTAGAGCAAGGGTTCCCCACAGAGAGCCTTCTTCACCAACACATATGCCACCTAACACTGCCCCGTCTACCGAACCAGACTCGGGGCACCCTTTTGGGGGGCTGGTCAGCTCTGTGAAGTTGAGAACGAACCCGCCGTCATAGCCAGCAAGCCCCCAAAAACTGCCTCACCTCTTTGTTAGTCTTCAGCTGTTCTACCAACCTGTCAGCCGAGGGTGGTAGACCCTGGTCCGAGCAGATTTTATGCTCAGTAATTCTGGCGACTATACTGTATATTAATACAAAAAGGATTACAAATGGAAGCAATGGTTTCTACAATCTTCATTCTCCAGCTTCGACTTTACCTCATTTCAAATAAGTCGCACTAACCCAGTTTTCTGTGCTGTCATCTGCAGCTGCCTGAAATACAATAAGAACTTCATAAACAACTTCCCTGATTTTTTTTTTTTTTTGTACAGTGGGGCAAAAAAGTATTTAGTCAGCCACCGATTGTGCAAGTTCCCCCACCTAAAATGATGACAGAGGTCAGTAATTTGCACCAGAGGTACACTTCAACTGTGAGAGACAGAATGTGAAAAAAAAAAAATCCATGAATCCACATGGTAGGATTTGTAAAGAATTTATTCGTAAATCAGGGTGGAAAATAAGTATTTGGTCAATAACAAAAATACAACTCAATACTTTGTAACATAACCTTTGTTGGCAATAACAGAGGTCAAACGTTTACTAGGTTTCGCACACACAGTAGTTGGTATTTTGGCCCATTCCTCCATGCAGATCTTCTTGAGAGCAGTGATGTTTTGGGGCTGTCGCTGAGCAACACGGACTTTCAACTCCCGCCACAGATTTTCTATGGGGTTGAGGTCTGGAGACTGGCTAGGCCACTCCAGGACTTTCAAATGCTTCTTACGGAGCCACTCCTTTGTTGCCCGGGCGGTGTGTTTTGGATCATTGTCATGTTGGAAGACCCAGCCTCGTTTCATCTTCAAAGTTCTCACTGATGGAAGGAGATTTTGGCTCAAAATCTCACGATACATGGCCCCATTCATTCTGTCCTTAACACTGATCAGTCGTCCTGTCCCCTTGGCAGAAAAACAGCCCCATAGCATGATGTTTCCACCCCCATGCTTCACAGTAGGTATGGTGTTCTTGGGATGCAACTCAGTATTCTTCTTCCTCCAAACACGACGAGTTGAGTTTATACCAAAAAGTTCTACTTTGGTTTCATCTGACCACATGACATTCTCCCAATCCTCTGCTGTATCATCCATGTGCTCTCTGGCAAACTTCAGATGGGCCTGGACATGCACTGGCTTCAGCAGCGGAACACGTCTGGCACTGCGGGATTTGATTCCCTGCCGTTGTAGTGTGTTACTGATGGTGACCTTTGTTACTTTGGTCCCAGCTCTCTGCAGGTCATTCACCAGGTCCCCCCGTGTGGTTCTGGGATCTTTGCTCACCGTTCTCATGATCATTTAGACCCCATGGGATGAGATCTTGCGTGGAGCCCCAGATCGTGGGAGATTATCAGTGGCCTTGTATGTCTTCCATTTTCTGATGATTGCTCCCACAGTTGATTTTTTCACACCAAGCTGCTTGCCTATTGTAGATTCACTCTTCCCAGTCTGGTGCAGGTCTACAATACTTTTCCTGGTGTCCTTCGAAAGCTCTTTGGTCTTGGCCATGGCGGAGTTTGGAGTCTGACTGTTTGAGGCTGTGGACAGGTGTCTTTTATACAGATGATGAGTTCAAACAGGTGCCATTCATACAGGTAACGAGTGGGGGACAGAAAAGCTTCTTACAGAAGACTTTACAGGTCTGTGAGAGTCAGAGATTTTCCTTGTTTGGGGTGACCAAATACTTATTTTCCACCCTAATTTATGAATAAATTCTTTACAAATCCTACCATGTGGATTCATGGATTTTCTTTTCACATTCTGTCTCTCACAGTTGAAGTGTACCTCTGGTGCAAATTACTGACCTCTGTCATCATTTTAAGTGGGGGAACTTGCACAATCGGTGGCTGACTAAATACTTTTTTGCCCCACTGTAGCTGGGATTATGCCCAACTATGATTGTGTTCTCATTGTTAGAGATTTTAATATACATGTGTGTTGGCTCGCTGGTCGATGGCAGCAGACCTACTGTGCAGTCTCTCCAAGAAGGCACTGAACAAATTTTTTGTAGACCACTGTTACGTTCCCCTGGGGGGGGGGTCTAGGCGGTGAGGGGGAAGTAACAAAAGTGACCGGGTCAGAAAAAGGAGTCAAGGAGGCGAAACAGTTTAAATAAAACAGTTTTATTGAAGTAAGTCAACTAAAAGAGATGGACAAGCCGTTATCACCATAAAACACCAACAAAACACAAACAAAACTCAGGCGTTGGTCAAATAAAGCAAAAAGTCAAAAGGAAAGCGCAGCTCACTAGCTGGACAACACACTACACAGCTCACTAGCTGGACAACACACTACACAGCTCACTAGCTGGACAACACACTACACAGCTCACTAGCTGGAAACCACCGCAAACACTCAGCTCACTAGCTGTACCCACACAAAATGGCACTCTGGCCCAGAGCTCACCCTGCTCTGGGCTTAAATACCCTTAATTGCTGATGGGAGTCAGCTGCGCCGGAGGGAAAGGTGGCATCTCAGGTAGGAGGTAGTGGGACACGCCCACACAGGCACCCTCAGGAGAGAGAGAGGCCCTGCTAGGGCCCCCTCCCATAAATGCAAACCCATGGTTTGTCAAATTTATGTTAGCAAGGGGTGCAGATCTGAAGGGTGGTTTTGAACATGAACCGGAGAAAGGATCAACCAGCGGCAGCTCAGGGTTAGTTGGCCTCGTACACCGATTACGGGGTGCTACCGAGCAATTGTGCTCCAGGTTTAGCCTTTCCGTAGGCCTGGCAAGCTTGTCAGTTTGAGAGCCACGACTGACTTTTCTCAAAACAGGCCCCTTTTGTGTTGAGTGGGCTTTCTGTTTGAGTGCCAGTTTGACACAATTGGCAACCACATGGCCAGGCTTGTGACAGAAAAAACACAGTTTGGGCCTAGGTCTTAACACCATAACTGCATTTTCCTTCTTAGCTGGCCCACTTTTACCTGTCCAGGCTGCGCTATAGTGCAGAGGGATATCCTGTCCTACCGCACTTGCTGTATGAATCAGCTTAAACTCATCTGCCAGGGTGGCAGCTTGCTGTAGAGTTGTAACCCTCTGTTCACTTAAAGGGCCACAGACTTAGGAACAGAGTTTTTAAAATCCTCCACCAGCATAAGCTCACGTATGGACCCCACATCATTAACCTGGCTTTCCGCACACCACCTATCAAAGAGCCTCGCCTTCTCCCTGGCGAAGTCAAGATAGGACTGTCCCTGCGCCAACTCCAACCCTCGAAAATGCTGCCTATAGGCCTCAGGTACCAGTTCATAGGCTTGGAGGACGGCACTTTTGATCTTTCCATAAACCAGGCCGTCCTGCCTAGACAGACCAGAACACGCTTCTTGAGCCTTACCTGTCAACCGACACAGCAACATCAACCCCCACACATCTTGAGGCCACTGCAGTGCAGTTGCCAGGCGTTCGAACACACTGAAAAAGCTGTGAACACTGGATTCACAGAAGTCTGGAACCAGGTGAATGTTATTGCTCACAAACGAGCCTCTAGACACCTGTACACTAGCAGCTGTGTCAACCATTTTGGGGATGGTGAAGAGTTAGAAAAACACAACCTAATTAAGACAGTTAACAGACCACTACACAACTTCCTTTAGCTGACCAACTAACCTCCCGCCACACACACACGTTAACAAAACAACTTACCCAGTTCCAAAACCTTGCCCTGTCTATCTTCCGGAGCGTGCTGGGCTCGAGGCAACTTTAAAGGCAGAACTTCAGCGACTGGAGCCCTGAATTGCCTACCCCCGACAGAGAATTAATCCCCACCCAGGATTACTCCAAAAACAACAAAGGCAAAATAACAAGAGTGCCCGAAGGAGGAACTTAAAAAGCTCAGCTGGGCACTCACCTACCTTAACTGGGAAGTTATTAATCTCTAAAAGGTGCCAAAGCGAGATAATCAAAAAGAAAACCAAATCCAACACAGAACTCCCTTTTCAAAGATCCCGGACGAGCCCCCACTTGTTATGTTCCCCTGGGGGGGGGGTCTGGGCAGTGAGGGGGAAGTAACAAAAGTGACCGGGTCAGAAAAAGGAGTCAAGGAGGCGAAACAGTTTAAATAAAACAGTTTTATTGAAGTAAGTCAACTAAAAGAGACGGACAAGCCGTTATCACCATAAAACACCAACAAAACACAAACAAAACTCAGGCGTTGGTCAAATAAAGCAAAAAGTCAAAAGGAAAGCGCAGCTCACTAGCTGGACAACACACTACGCAGCTCACTAGCTGGACAACACACTACGCAGCTCACTAGCTGGAAACCACCGCAAACACTCAGCTCACTAGCTGTACCCACACAAAATGGCACTCTGGCCCAGAGCTCACCCTGCTCTGGGCTTAAATACCCTTAATTGCTGATGGGAGTCAGCTGCGCCGGAGGGAAAGGTGGCATCTCAGGTAGGAGCAGCGTCTCCAGGACATTGCATCTGGTGCTCAGCTTAGTATTGCAATTTTTCCATTTATTTAGTGCAGCTACACTCCAAAACTTGTGCTCTTGGTTTGAGTTGTAGTATAATTCTCAAACGCACTCCTTAAAACAGATAACCCAGTAGCTCGAAAGTGTTTCCGTAATTTAGTAGATATTTATTAAAAATGTTTTGTTACTCTAAGTTTAAAAAAAAAAAAAAAAAAAAAAAAAAAAAAAACCTTAGTAAAGAAAAGACATCTTACTACTCGTCACTGATAGAGGAAAACTGGAACAAGACCAAGTTTCTTTCTTCAGATTAAGAACTCTGTTGAGCTTTGTGTTTTTAAACTAGCGATGAATTTCTTCATAAATAAAAGTATAACTAACCGCTGAGACTGTTTCTCTTCGATTGGTCTTGCTGAGTATAGTTCATTAATTGCTTCCTCTGTCATATTTAGGCTGTGTGCAGGCAGGATGAGGACCCAAGCGCAAACTCACGGGAGAACAGGACTGAACTCAAAGTACAGCTTTATTGCTGATGGAAGTTAAGGCGATACAAAATAATATGAAACTAAACTGGGGAGTCATAAAGGAACTGACTCACGAGGAAACACACGGAGGGGCACACAGTCATGAGGGAGAACGCGACACTGAACTGAGGGAGACGCAGACATAAATACTCAGAGGGTTAACGAGGGAAGTAGGAGCACACGGGGAACACAGGTGACACTGATAATTATAACAAGACACGGCAGGAGTAAACAACACTGATGGGAGACTGACAAAGTGAAACAGGAAGTGCACAGAGGTGCAGACAGGAGGGGAGAGAGAGAACAGACATAACGGGCTGGGGAAAACATTGAATGAAACACAAGGAGGGGAAATGAGGGCTCACAGATACACAGAGGGGCACACAGGGGGTAATCAAATAAGGAACATTTTAACAGGACAACCTGGGAACCAAGGCATAAATAAAGAAAAATACAAGACGCATGAAAACTGAGAATGCTGGGCCAACATGGCCCAGGACCATGACATCCTCTAAACAATCAATGTTTCTATTGGACCATATTTTTGTTGCTTATGCTTGTTTATTTTATCTTGTTGTCCCTCCAGGCTAGAGTCTACGACAATACTATTCACTCCATCAACATAACCTTGGTCAATGTAAGCAGAGATGACAACAACTTCCTATTAGTATGCACTGCCACCAACATAGTGGGCATGACCAACGCTTCAGTTCAGCTAACTGTTCACTGTAAGTAGATACACCACAGACACAACGTTATACACAAAACTGCACTCCATAAAAACTGTGAAAAGTAGCATTATAAATAGTTGTGGAAATGTGAGTTGGCTACTGTATCCATTTTAAGCTCTCTTCTTTTAAATATATAAATCTTAGTAAGATGCACTCATAAATTAAAACTCTAGCTTTACTTTACGAGATTGTCTTTGAGATTTCTATGAGGCAGTTAAGTGACTGAAATACTGTGGAAGAGATTAATAATAGTAATAACTAGTTAAAGATGGGAGCTGACAAATTCATTGTTAAAATTTTGACTTTACATCTATTTTTGTTTTAGTTCTATTTTAGCTGCCAAATTTTGTAATTGTCTTGAATCAATATTTATAAGTATTAGTATATAGTAGTATATAATATATTAGCGTTATTAGATAGCTGCTTCTTTGTACTTAGGTTAATGTTTGTGCAAATCTTAGAATATTGCAGGGAGAAATTACTGTGGTATCAGTTGTCTTCTTTGAGTGCATACTAGTGGTATTTAAGGTTTATTGCAGCCAAGGGTACTGTATATGCAGAGGGCTAAATAATGTCACACAGTGACTAATATGTTGCAGCTGTGTTTGAGATTGTAGGGTAGGCCTTGGATTGTAAAGGACTGAAGCGGCTGCAAGAATATTATAGCAATAAAGGCCTATGCACAACAGACATGTAAAATCAGTGGACATATTTTATGTGTTAAAACTAGTTTTCAGACTCAACTATTCTTAATGCAGCTGTTTACACCAACCATGTAACTGGCGGAATTTATGTTTTCAAACCAAGCTCGATTCTTTTTAAATTTTCAGAACCAGTACTGATAAAAAAAAAGATTTGGGAAATAGTAGAGTAATCCTATTTAATCTCAGACCCACAGCTACAGTAGATGCTGCTCTGGGTCAGTGGGGACTCTAAAAGGATTTCACTGCCTCCTTAGATGTGGTCCCAACTCTGCCAGCAAGAGCTCAAACTGTCCCACTGACATCCTGAAATATGTATAAAGGCCATTATACAGCTTTAACTCCTGGATCAAACCAGTCTCCCTGCTGCTGCTTCTCCTCAGAATTGGATGGAACGGAATCTCAGTTTCTTACATTTCTTGTTTGGAAACATCACGGCCAGCTCATGATCACTACATGTTGACTTCATTTTCTTACAGTGTGGTTTTGTTTTCTGCCAGTCCAGAAGTGGCACTTCTGGATGGATGCAAACTGCATTTCGTTGCCTTGTACTTGTGACATGTGCAATGACAATAAAGTTGAATTCTATTCTATTCTATTCTTGGTACCTAGTCTCACACTAAGTGTTGTAGAGGCTGTGTTCAACTGCCGAAAGACCACTTTGTTTTTGTGATGTATACTATAACTATTTTGGTTATTTTTTATTTCTATTATTATTTAGCAGTGTTTAAAGTGGGATCTGGCAGGTGGAGAAACCGAGTTCAGGGTTAACAATGCAGTAATACAGGGGGATGAGTCACCTGGAAATAAGCTGCATAATTATTTTTTTAAGCTGCAGTAGATTTTTTCCCTCATCTGTATCAACAGCAGGTTATTGTAGTATATTGATCTGGACCAGTCTGAATAACCCCATGAGGGGGCAGCAAATGCAAAGAAACCAATAAGCTGTCTCCCAGCATAGTGTGGGGGCTTTTTTGGCAGGGGTCATGCACTGGGTCATCCTCCCTTTGATCAAGACAGCTGTGTGATTCCAGTCTAAACATCTGTGTAATGCTATTCTTAGTAACCATTAAAAGTGAGGAAGGTCTCCATTATACAGAGATCTATATATTTATCAAATTTCCTGACTTGCTTGGGCTCACTCTGCTGAGCTGCCCGGGACCTCTGACCATATAGTTTTTATTTTGTATGTATTCATTTTTTAAATTAATTATTGTATTGCTCCAATTTCCAGGTATTTTCAGGTATTTAGGGATTACCCACTATATTTCACCTATTTACTGGGGTAGCTATAATCTAGTCTAGTCTGCATGCAAAAGTGTCCTTGGGCAAGATACTAACCCCAAGTTGCTCTCCAATGCATCCATTAATGTGTTAATATGTGTATTAATCTGTGTGAATGAATAAAAAGAAGTGCTTGTATGAATCGGTGAATGGGGTACCTTCTATAAAACACTTCGATTACTCAGGTAGAGAAGAAAAGCTTTAGGACAAGGACACGCCCTAGAGATGAAAAGGAATACAGAAATGAGACTGACTTCAGGACAGGACAGACTGGACACAAAGGGGAATTAACACAGTTAAACAAGGAACTAGAAACAAAACACAGAGGCACTAGCAAGAGCTATACTCAAGACTAAATAATGCAGAACTAAATTTAAAAGCAACAAATTATGAGCCCAAAACAAAAACTCAAAATACTTGGTAGAAACCCGGGGACATGACCAGTCCATTTACCATTACCACCCAAGCTTTTTTTTTTTTTTTTTCTTTTTTTTAATGTGTTCATTACAGCTTTAAATATCTATATACAATCATCCATTTATGTATAATGATATTTGTTGTTATTTTTATCATTATTATTGTTATTATTATAATAAACTTTGTTTAACTCGGAAGTCCCACTGACATCAAAACCCATTTTAATGGAGACCTGTCCAAGGTAACAGCTATATAAACTCAGTACATCTAGAAAAACATCATCTAATATTATCACCTCTTGAGACATCTCCACTGTGTTCCTGATGATGTATAAATTCAGCACTAGATGTAAGCATGTTTAAGTTCAAGTTCATCCCATACACAAGCATAGTTACACACAAAGGGATCCATGAGGAGGAGCATAGAGGATTATTATTGGTACTAAAACAGAAAATGTTACAAAGGTAAACTGGTTTATGTAATTTACTCAGTATTAGTTTATTGAAAAAATTATACCAGCTATGGCCAACTGACCAAAAGAACATGTAATGAACATGAGCCGAGTCTGGCTGTGGAACTTGCTGCACTGTCTATCCGCTATCTTGGTGTTGTTAAAGGCAAAATTATTTAAAATACCTATAAAAATAATTTCATACTTGAAGTTTTGTCCACATGCAAATACCCTTTAAATTTGTCCTGATGTGTAGTTTGCTTTGATGAGACTTTCTGGAGGCTGATGGTGAAGTGGGATTTAATTTCTGACACAAGCAGATCAGGTGGTAGAAAGGGTAGAAATACTTCTGTCATTTTGTTGCTTTCTACAAGACAGCCAAAATCATTCAGTTTTTCTCAATCTTTTTTTTTAAAACTGCTACTTTAAAACCTTAAAAACCTTAAACCTGAAAGGAAATCCAATGCAATTTCAGAAGTGCACATTTCAGTGTTTTAAGGTTTTTTGACAGTAAAAACGATCAAGTTTATATGGGAAACACAAAAATAGTTTACTTCTTTCTTTGGTTTAATTTTAACTTAGGCAGGTGAGTACCTGTTAACATGTGCTATACAAGTGCAGATCGTTTACATTTTTTTCTTTATTCTTTGTCCTCTTTGTCTCTCAAGTTCCTCCCACCATTATTAGGCTGAAGGAGCCAGAACGCCGCCATGACACATGCATTGAGTTTACCGTTCGTGGTTCACCCCACCCAGTCTTACGATGGTTCTATCAAGATAAGGTATATTTTTAATTTCATGCTCGTAAATCTATTGTGCACTTTTTTTTTTTGTTTGATAAAAATGTGTTGTGTACTTGTTACTCTCTGTAAAAGGAAATGTCATTTATGAAAAAACAGAATTTCTGTGCTCATCAAAAAAGCGGTTACATTTACAGCCCCTTGGTTAGTATTTACTCAGTACATTACAGTAAATTGTTGGGTAAATGCCACTGGGAAGAGGTAAATAAAATAAAAAAAGACATACTCATCAACTCTAATACAAGTACTGCGAGGTTGTGACTGGTTTAGGTTGAAAGTAACTCAGCAACCATTTATTAGAAACATATTGTCTGTAAAGCTTCAATTCCACTTACAATTGTAGTTATCCAAGGTTTATTTTGGTAATTCTAATAACCTTACTATGGATTATATAAAGTTGAAAATAGTCCTTTCAGATTTTAGTTTTTTGGTTTGTTTCATGTACCATAGAAATGCTAAATTTGTTTTTTGTAATCCTAAATGGGGATGAGATAGGATTAGAACTGAGCATATGAGTGGGACAGTTCAGGTTTTGAGGCAAGACTGAAATAGTTTGGATATGTGCAGATGAGGGGTACAGGGAACTTTCATGGATTAAGTGGAGGAGGACAAGCAGAGGGTTGGTGTGACAGAGGAGGATTCTAGAAATAAGAAGAGATGGAGGCAGTTGATCTGCTGTGACTTCTAAAGGGAGCAGCTGACAGAAGAAGAAAAGTTATTTCTGATTAAATATTCATATTTCCTGTGGCACCCCTCAGACTTGTTGCTGTTTCCCCAAGTGACAAGTCCTTTGAAAGATCCTGGAAACAACCGTGCTAGTATGTATGTGGCATTGCAGTTAGAATTTAAAAACAGGAGGTGACTGACACTAAGCATAAAAATACAATTTGGGTCCACTGAATCATAATGCAATATGAATTAGCAAATGCTAGATATGTTGTTCTATTTAAGAAATGCAGGAGAAAAGGTTTGTTTAACAGTCCAAATGTTACACAGAAGCTACCATAACTGTTTCCATGTCATTTTCTTCACATCATTACCTCAAAACAGCCAAAAGGGCAATGTTTGGAACATAGGGGAAGATGAATTTCAATTAATATCAAATATCATCCATTGTTATCAGCTTATTAATATATTTTATTTAGACTTCTATCTAGCTTTATCATTACATTTCTGAGGGACTACTATTTGCTGTTTGGTTTAAGAAAAAACCTGCTTTGTTAACTACCAACAATAACTACTAGGGTTTTAGAAAAAAAATATTAAACTTACTTTTAAAGTAAAGGTTTCTACAAAGTCTTAGAAGAAATGTTACAGAGCTCTGTATACTGTATCATGCACATAAGTTTTCAGGGCTGTAGCTGATCTCTTTCACATCAATCCTTGTCATTTTTTGACAATGTAGGAAATTTCCCACACTGAGTATGTGCGGCCTGACATGGATATTTACCTGGACTACATAGAGGGATGCCTAACCTTTAAAAACCCAACACACCACAATAATGGCAATTATACTCTGGAGGCCAGAAACTACCTGGGCATAGCCACCAGTACTGTGTATGGGCACTTCCTGGAAAAGCCTTTTGGTAAGTTCAATCATTTAGAGTTATACTAAAGTAAATCAAAAGCTTTGCCTTCACCCCAGCTGTGTCTTCACCACAGCACCTGCATCGCTGTCGGCACTACATCAATCTGTCACTCACCTGCTCCAGTTTCCCCTTACTTTTGAACAAGACTCAGAGAAAGGGCAGTACATTTTGAGTGGGCACTCCATCCTTTTCTGATTGAGAGCCGTGGCTTTGAATGTCGAGTTCCTAATTCTTTTTCCTGCCAGTTCAGATGAGCTGCAAACCATCTTAGTATTGGCTGGAAGTCAAACCACGGTTCTCCGTCTGGGAATCCGATAGTTTGCATTGTTTCTTCTGAATCCGAGGTTTAACTAATTGCATCCAGTCCAATACCCTGGCATAGATCTACCTAGGGAGGCTGAGGAATGGGATCCTCTTGTAGCTGGAGCACATTTTCCAGTCCCTTTCTTAAAAGGTTTAAATGTCATCCATTTCTGCCAGTCCAGAGAGAAATCTACATGTATCATTGCAGATGTGTTCCATGCCATTTCTATTTTATCAAAATCTTTCACAAACTAGAACAAGAAGAATGTTTATCCTGTAAAAGTTACGCAACCTTTTTGGGCTACAGCACCATAGGGTCCCACTCTTGCAAGTGCCCCCTGTTAAAGTGAACATGGAAGTTTCAAATGTATCAGTTGTCTGAATCAAGGAAAAATCTTTACTCTTGAACATGACCCTGAATTATTAGTCTGCATGGTGATCGAATGTTAAACAATGGCAATAATGAAACTCAAAAACTGCTTTGCCACATTAAAAGTAATATTCAAACAAACAAAACATGAAATGTTCCCTGTCTAATTTAGCCTTGTACCACAAGGAACCACTGCATTATTCTGCTGCTTTCAAGCTCAGTTTTCAGTTTTGTTTAGAACCTTTGCAGGAAAAAGTAAAAAAAAACAAAACAACAAGTTTCTGCTAAAGGGACATTTTAGTTCCCTGTGCTTTATCAGAGATTACGATCAAGCACACTGTCATGACTTAGCATTCGGTTTGACTCAGTGTCACAGTTTTCTTATAAAACAAAACATGCTCTAATCATCGCCCTGTGTTAGTACTGGATATAGTTGTGAAATAATGCTTATATTTAGCCTAAGTGTAAATTAGATGCGGAGAAATTAGAAAAGTCATACAGGATATGATAAGCTTCTTAGTAGTGTTATTTATTTCCAAATTTTTCACATTTTCAGTTTTAAGTCATTTTCAGTCATTTACACCTGCTTTCTTTGAAGTGATGCCGTAGGTTGTTTGATCAGATTCCTTTGTAGAGTATGCCTTACAGAGGATCTTTTCCAATCGTCACTTTTTCTCTTCTCTTTCTTTTATAGATGATTACGATTATGGTGAGTTTTATTATCCATCAATACATTATCAGAATCAGAATACTTTATTGATCACTAGGGGAAATTATGTAGTTTTCCATTTCATTTGTTTTCCTTTAAAAAAACAAAAAAACAATACAATGAAAAGCCCAACAATCATTTGACCCCACTATGAGCAAGCACTTTAGTGATGGTGGGAAAGAAAAACTCCCTTGTAACAGGAAGAAACCGTCAGCAGAATCAGGCTTACAGAACTGGCAGCCATCTGCCGTGTGAGGGGAGGAAGACAAAGACACACTGTGGAAAAGAGTCAGGGATTATTAATAAATAATAATCATTGAATTCAGAGAGGTGCATAAACACAAAGTGAGTGAAAAAGCTGAAACACTCAAGGCATCATCAGCCTAGAGCTATTGCAGCTGAGGATTCAGGGTCAAGCCCTAACTAATTCCTTACTAACGCTAATAACATTTACAATAATAGATTACAGATTATTTGGGAATAAATTTCATTGCAGTAAATGTCTTTCTGAAAGTGGTCTAACTAAATTTAAGGATATAATTCCCTCACTGTCAACTTGAGTGTCATGTGCTAACACAATACAGAACAGCTTCCTGAACTCGACTCCCACAGAGGTAAATTATATTACTAATAGTTTTACATCTTCACTGTGTAAGACTCCATACTGTGGTTCCTCTGGGAAACACTACCAGTACTTGAATCATTGGTATAACTCTTAAACACACACCTTAGAGCAAATAACTCATATGCTGAAGATGAAGTGGTGCTTGTTTATGTAATTACAGACCCCTCTTCACACACCAAGGTTTAATATGGAGTAATGCAGGCCGTGGCAGATAGTTGCTCCTCCAATGAGCCTGGTTCTGTTTGAGGTTTCTTCCTGATAAAGGGGATGTTTTCCTTCCCAATGTCACCAAAGTGCTTGTTCATAGGGGTTCATAGGGTTTTCCTCTGTTTTCTCTGTATTATTGTACGGTCCCTTATCTTACAATAAAAAGCCCCATGAGGAAATTACTGTTGTGATTTAGCAGTATACAAATAAAACTGAATTGAGTTGAATTGTTGCATGTATTATTTTTTGTTGTTTTGTCTAACATTATGAAAAAAAACATTCAACAAACGAAACTGTTCAGCAGCAGAAATCATATCAAGCAAAACTGCAAGAATTTGTTAATAATGTGTGATTTCTTTCTTTTTCTTAAAGGACCCACAGAAAAAGGTGAGTGGAATAAGATGCCACCGCCTAAAACGAGTCAGTTATGTTGCCCCAAACACTAACCAGCTACACCCAACAACTAAGAGATGCACCTGTACTTTACCTCTGCCTGGGAAAACAAACTAACATTTTTTGTGTTTTTCTTACAGTAATTCCAACTGCAGAGACTCACATACCGGAGGAAGATACTTTTGGGGTAAGAGAAACTGTCTGCTGCCTACAGTGCAGTTTTTAGACCCCTTCCCAGGCATCTCAACTGCCATTCACATCTTGCATCAGGTGATTTCAGTGGGTCAAATAATAGGGTGAGCTAAGGTCTCCCAATCGTTTCACCCGAAACCTCTGCTGATAATGACCCACAGCTTTTTTCACACCTTGGCATGTGGTGAGGCCCATGATTGATAGTGAGCTGACGACCCTCATATCTAGGGATTAAATACTTGGGATTCTTCACCATTTGGTTTTAGAACTTAAAAATCTTACTAGTTCAAAGATTACTGCCTGCTGAAGACAGTATTTTGTGATGTTTGTGGGTCTAAAGATACTGAGTCCTCGCTCCTGAAAATACTTTAGAAGTCAGGTACTTTCAATTCAATGCCGTGAAACTGTGTGACTGTGACGTTTAGACTTCATGTGATTTACAGGTATCCATAGCAGTGGGCCTGGCAGGGTTTGCCCTAAGTTTAATGCTGGTGGTTCTCTTTCTTCTCATCAACAAGTATGGTGGACGATCCAAGTTTGGCATGAAAGGTAAGAGCGAATGTATTTTTAGTCTTTCTACTCTGTCTTTGATCTGGAATAAAAATCACATGTGTGACTTGTATGAAGGTGGGCAGCAGAAAGAGGAGCTCACAGTGCTGATTGTAGTCGTTCTAAATCTGCACTATAGAAATAAAATTGAACTGAATCCTTGGAAGGAAATATTAAAAGTGTGAAATCTGCTTTGCTCGTTTTTTCATTGTGTGCACACACTCATATGAGTATATAGTGTGGTGGGCTGCAGAAAATTGCAGATAATATTTGTGACATACTATGCAAACATGGTACTATACTATGCAAGCAATACAAGTGCAGTCAAGACCAAATGGAGGAACAATGGAAGAACACATAGGAGACAACAAAGTGCCAAAAAAACAGTTTGACTGTTTGGCCAGTCTGGGCGTTTTTTCACCTTTGACCTCTACAGCATCTTTCTTTTCCCCCTTTGTCACTTGATGCATGCTGGGATGAAATCATTTTTTTGGTTGGATAAGACTTTTATTTTATATTATTTACTGACTAGTAAGGAACAACCAGCACAGCATTCTGTTGAAATCTATATGAACTGATTATGATAACATATTGCAAGACTAAGCAATACATTGTGTTGTATGTTATTTGATTAGCTATACTGCTGATGGCAAAGATATTGGGATTTTTAGCTTGCTAAATGTCACAAGTGTGTACAAAAGCAGTACAATTCCTTGGAAATATTGGGAAACAGATGTTTCCATGCATAATTTATTCTCCCTATTGTTATTCTGAGAAGCAATTAGAAACATGCTCGGTATTATTGTAGGGTCTATACCTAACAATGTAAAGTACCTTCAAGCAACTGTTGCTCTGATTTGGCGCTATGTAAATAAAACTGAATTGAATTGAAATCAAAATGTTACATTGAAAATAAATGGGGAGACACTAGTGGTGAAAACTTGACTATAAAAAAATCAACAAAGAGAAGCATGCTACTGGCATGCAGTATGGGTGGAACGGGTACACTGAGTAGCATGTGGCCTTTGCCGTGCAGTAGTACACACTCCTAGCTGAGTGTCTGCAGCAGAACAGAGGTTTAAAGCTACTGCATGTCAACTCACACACTGCCATCATGAGGTGGTATCTAGAGGTGGGTGTTTGCACACATCAAATCTAGAAATAGTGAAAGTAAACTGTCCACAGAATGCTCATGTTTACCAGCCTGACTCATATCAGTGGATTCGAAAGGGATTAGAGTGGGAAAAGGTCCAGGCATGATGAGTCAAGCTTGGATTTTTCTCAGCTTCACATTGTCACTCTGTTTGGTTGGAGAGTTTATGTGCTTCAGTTCAAACCAAATTTTCTTTTTAGTGTCTTGATGAGAATTAAAGTTACTAGACAATTTTTATTTCTTCTGTGCACCAACACAATCCATAAATCGAACAATTGAGATGTGATTGAAGTGCAGCTTTTACATTTTTAATTTAAAGGGTTTCACAAAGGTGTAAAAGAAAGAGGCAACAAAAGCCCAATTAGATGAATGTTTTCTATCCTGAAACTGCTGTCAGGCAGCGTTTTCTGAAGAGAAACTGACAAAAAAAATGGTGTTTCACCTTGCAGAAGGCACAATCACTTTGTGACTTGTGTGTAGGTTCATTCTTAATAAAACTAAAGGCTGTTAAATATTGGAGTTGCAAAGATACCCTGTGCTCTCTGAGGTAAAATGAGTTGAACTACTTAAGGTGATGATGTTCTTACACAAATGAGAAACCCCATAGTTGCAGTTATTATGATAATTATTAGCTTTGACAGTATGCACACAGGTCAGAGCTCAGTGATGGGTGACCATTAACTGTGATACTTATTGGGACAATTTCTCATCAACAGAGAAATACTGAGTGTATCACTTCATCTTCACATTGCTGTACTGCAGTGTAGTTAGATTACAGTTGTTTCGTAGTCTCCACAGAGAGATTGAAAATTTCAAGAATATTGTGCTTCTCCAACATTCCTTAATTGTGTCTCAAACTTTTGGGCACATATTTTGGCAATGAAAGGAAGTTTGGAAATGGGCCTGTAGGTTTTCTTCAGTGGTGTGTCAATGTTTGTTTTTCAGTGGTGGTTGGATAAACCCATTTAAAGCATCTGGCGACACAACCTGAACGCAAAGAGCAATATATCAGAGTGACTACAGAGGACTGAGGTTTCATTTTGGTCAATATTTCAGATATATCTTCTAAGTCATTTTAAGACCTCATAGGGGTCTTCAAAAGACCCCTATGAGTAGAACATTGAGGGAACAGTTTACCCAGCCTGGGATAGGATTACCAGGGCTCCCAACCATGGAGCCAGGCCCGGGGAGGGCAAACGTCTGGCGGCCAGGCCTTAGTCCATTGGGCCCAGCCAGGTACAACCTGAAAAAGTGACATGAGCTCATCCTCCTGTAGGCCCACCACCCACAGCAGAAGCCGTAGGGTTTGGGTGCAATGTGTGTCGGGAGGCAGCCAGGAGCAGGGGCCCTGGCAGACTGATAACCGACTACCAAAACTAATGGGACATGGAATGTTACCTCCCAGGTGGAGAAGGAGTCTGAGTTAGTGCCTGAGGTTGAGAAGTACTGGCTAGATATAGTGGGGCTCACCTCAACACATGGCTTGGGCTCTCAAACCAGTCTCTTGGAGAGGGGCTGGACTCTGTCTCAGTCTGGAGTTGCCCATGGAGAGAGGTGGTGAGCCGGGGTGGGTATCCTAGTATCAACCCAGTTTCCTGCCTGTACATTTGGGTTTCTCCCAGTAGATGAGCAGGTTTGTTTCCTGCACCTTCAAGTTGGGGAACGGGTCCTGACTATTGTCTGCGCTTATGCGTTTTATGGCAAACTCCCCTAAAACTGTGGATGGATTCAGAGATCCAAGGAGTGCTGGCTTGACTAAAGTGGCACTTTGCTAGTATATTTAAACACAGTGAAAGCAGCACACACTTCCATATCATCACAAAGATATTTCTAGCAAAAAGTTCTCCAAATTTTCTCCACCAGTAATGTGTCAAGAGTACTTGGTATGTGCAATAGAGAAGCTGTCAAGGCTAAAAAACAAACAAACCATCAAATAAAAGACATTATAATCACTAATAAAAATGTCCAGGCCAAGTGACAGAATCATAGTTGGTTGGCTGGGCCAGCTATGTGTTTACCGAGTCACATGTTGAATAAAATGAAAAGATTCTAGAAGATTATGAAAGTCAGAAGCTATGGAGCACAAGCTGTAATCAACATGAAAATTTAAACTCCCCAACAGAATGATTCTTTCCAACTTAATGGAGGACAATAAGAAATCACCAAAATACACTAAGAAACTCACAGCTGATCCTGATGGTCTACAGATTAAAATGACATAGAAAGGATGAATCCAACCAATCGTCATCATCTGTATCTCAAAGGATTTAAAAGAAGAATTATTCAACATTTGACAAAAAAAATATTGCTAAAAATTACAGCCAGCGAATGGCAAACATCATTAATAATTTTGTAACTAATTGTTACAAAGCATAATTAATTGTATCTAATTGATATAGATTATGAAAAGAGATTGTTAGGAGAGTAAATTCAATTCAATTTTATTTATATAGCGCCAAATCACAACAAAAGTCGCCTCAAGGCGCTTCATAGATACAGAGAAAAACCCAACAATCATATGACCCCCTATGAGCAAGCACTTTGGCGACAGTGGGAAGGAAAAACTCCCTTTTAACAGGAAGAAACCTCCAGCAGAACCAGGCTCATGGAATGAGCCTGGTTGAATGAGATGATAAATGAGATGATATGATGAGATGAATGAGATGATAAATGAGATGCCAATTTTACTTTACATTAAAATACATCAGTGACCTATGTCTGGCCCTCAGTGTGATCAGTGTGGCCTGAGTGAAGCCCTAGAGAAACTGTGTTTTAATGGCCATGAACACACAGAAACCCAATATGAACCATCTGGCTGTTCACGTGCATGCACGCTCACATTTTGAAGACATTTAGCTTACAGTGAGATGAAGTGTACTGATATTGTGTCACTGTTCACTTCCATTGCTCCAAATGCATGGTTTGTAAAAGAATAAAAAAGGGATGATTCCATTAGGGCTTCATAAATCCTGCTCCTCAGAGACTCTTTGGGGAGAAACTCTCTGGTTTCTTCTAAGAACATTGGCATCTTTATGTCACTGTACTCTCCTTTTGGTTCCAATAGGATTGTTGTGTTCTTAGGAGAATAAAAAATGTCTGTAATTGAATGTGTTATGGTCCTTGGTCAGTCCAGTCCATTCTTTAGTATGACCCTTTTTTAGTTGTTTTATTCTACTGTAAACCTTGAATGATACCATGCTCTCCCCCCATTGAGCTACGGTCTGTCTTTCTACATCTGTCTGTCTGATGCATATAGTCATATAGGTCTTCTGGGAGTGAAATTCAATCGAGGCTGTACTACATGCAGAAAATCTATATGAAAATTAATTATGAAAAACTATTAGGCATACTGTATATTTATTTAGTTCGGTGCATTTGTAATTCAGGGTTTAGATAATAAAATGTAGATTTAGGTTTAACATGTTGGTGGACAATTCTTAACTTACAAAATATCTGAATTGTAACTTTATTGTATTGAGAGGGTTCTTTTTCATTGTGTCTGAGGGATTAAATTTTAGCCGCCCCCCCTTTAACAAGCTGCACATGTTAAAACTATATTCATCTGTGGATTAATCACATATTCTTTTTTTTATTCAGTTCATTTCTTCAAAGAATGTCATGTTTGCAGTTTGTCAACACTGCTGTAACATTCAAGGCACAAAGCAGCAACCAGCATCACAATGAGTTTGTTGCTGTGACAACTGAGTGTTTTCTCTGAGTTTCCCACCCAAGCCAGTGAAAAGGCTCTGAGTGTTTTAGCCATCTTTATATAGTCCGTCTGTGGCTGTACACTCACTTTTTCGTGAGCGTACAGCCTTTTTTGGCAACTATGACTAAATTATCTAATAAAGGATAAACAGTTTCGAACTCAAATGTTCTTAAAGGTCAGGAAGTGAACTCACAGCCAAACCATAATCATCCATCCATTCGCTTCCGCTTATCCTTTTCAAGGTCGCGGGGGACGCTGGAGCCTATCCCAGCTGTCATAGGGCGAAAGGCGGGGTACACCCTGCACAGGTCGCCAGTCTGTCACAGGGCTAACACACAGGGACAGGGACAACCATTCACACTCAGATTCATTCGCACATTCACACCTAGTGGCAATTTGGTTTATCCAATTAACCTATCCCCACAAGCTGCATGTCTTTGGAATGAGGTGGGAGGAAGCCGGAGTACCTGGAGGGAACCCACGCAAACACGGGGAGAACATGCAAACTCCACACAGAAAGACCCCGGCCTGATGTTGGAATTGAACTCAGGACCTTCTTGCTGTGCGGCAACAGTGCTAACCACCGTGCCACCGTGCTGCCTTATTAATACACCTTAATCATAAAAAACAAAAAATGATACAGCAGTCTAGCTGCGTCATTTGTTATATTGTAATTGTTTACACTGATATCTGCGATAGATATCCAAATATTTGAGTGAAGATGAGGTTGAAATTATTTGAAGTCAGTAGTAGGGGTGCAACGATACACAAAATTCACGGTTCGGTTCGGTTCGATACTTTGGTGTCACGGTTCGATATTTTTTCGATACAAAAAAAATGTTCATGCCTTTTTAATTTGTCATTTATTAAAATTATAAATATATATTTTAACTCAAAAGTACAGTTTTTAAATTTAACCCTAACCCTTGTGCGTGTTTTTTATTTTGACAGCGAATGCGCACCTGCGGACCACTTATGTTCAGCCCTGGTTATTTAGCTCATCATATTGCAGCCACAGAAATTCTTTTGTCCATGAAACCATAAAGCTGCACTTTCTTTTTGCCTTATAGTCTGATTTGTCATAACTTCTCCTGCTGCTTTTACACACACTCACATAAGCTCAGCGATTCTCTGCGCAATCAACCTCTCACATGTTTAAGCTGCGGGAGATTTCACTTGTCATGTTTGCATAGTAAGCTAACAATTAATAAGACGATGTCAGAGGAATTGGTGCACAAATTATCATCACTCACAGATCAGTGCTGTCGCTCTCTATACACAGTTCGCACGATTGCAAAGTGAAAGCAAAAAAACAAGCGCAAATTCAAACGCGATTTCAATATGTCACATATTGACAGTGGCTCACCGATGCCAATGACATAATTACCCAGCTACATTTCTGAAAGAATGCAAAAGCATTGACATATATTTTTCCTTCCTACAATAGCCCGACGGGTAGGGAAGAGATAGATTTTGGTAGCCCGACTGAAAAAAATACCGCGGTAAAGTGAGCCGTCATTTGTGAGCCGTGGTCAAGCCAGCCGCCTCTTATCCGCCGCATAAATTTCCTTGCGCTTTTACACCAGTCTTTACGGTAGCGCCTTTTCGCTTTATGTGCCGATTGAAAGCCTATACCCGCGCACGTACTATATGAGCAATATATATATGGACATCAACTACTCAGGATGACTTTTAATGAATTTTTGAAATAAACATAATTATAGTGTATTGACTGTATTGCACTGAATATGAGTTTACTGTGATTTCTGAGTAATATTACAGTAAATCTGGGTAAAACCTGGCCCAGAGGTAAAGTAGGTGTCCGAGAAGAGGATTGTGTTGAAAGCTTGGCATCAACTTTTAAGAATGATTTTTAATGAATTTTTGAATATGCAACCAGACTGTCACGATGGCTGTATTGGGCTGTTCCATTGTAATTTGTGTGTTCAATCAGGATATAAAGCGAAAAGGCGCTACCGTAAAGACTGGTGTAAAAGCGCAAGGAAATTTATGCGGCGGATAGGAGGCGGCTGGCTTGACCGCGGCTCACAAATGACGGCTCACTTTACCGCGGTAAAAAAAATCGCTAGCCCCAGGACGTCGGGCTAGCGATATTGCAAGCCCTGTATCTGATTGAGGAATCATGCATCTTTGGAAAAGAGAGTTTATTACAGAGAAATGTCTCTTTCCAAAATAAAAGCTATACTATCCGCTTCTTCTGGGCTTTATTCTCAGCAGCATAAGGAGAATCATGTGCTAACAGCTGTCTAAATGACTCGGCTAAAGTTAGTAGCATGCTTGTTGTTTTTGTCTTTGCACTAGGATGATGTCGGCGTAAATGTGCAGTCATATTCGTTGTGTTCCCACTAGTGCTTTCAGGTTAATCTCGTTGAAATGACCTTAACACCACAACACGGCAAATCTCCGTTAACGAGCTACCGCCGATCGCCCCGTGCATGGGGCTGGACGGCCAACACGTTAACGAGCTAACTGCGCTAACACACTAGTTCCCACCCATGTAATTGAGCATTGCATGGCACATCCAACATACTGTTTTACATTAGTCCATGACTCGCTTACCTTCAGGGTCATACGTCACATGAAAACCAAAATAATTCCAAACGCCAGATCTGAATGAGGGTGGGGGAGGTCCATGTTGCAAGGAGAGCTTAACTTCTGTCTTGCTAGCTTGCCCTGCGCTCTTCCTTCTGACTATGCTGTCTGTGTTGAGCGCTCAGTGGATCTGCGCTCGACAGTGCAGCCTAGGCGGAGTAGTCGAACGCAGATTCACTGAGCGCTCAACACAGACAGCATCGTCAGAAGGAAAGTTGATAAAATAAATTACAAATGTTGTATTGTTCATACATATGCGTACCGAACCGAAAGCACTGTATCGAACGGTTCAATATCGATACGAATATCGTTGCACCCCTCGTCAGTAGGTAGTGATTTCAAATCAGTTGATCTCGAATCTGCAGTGCATGTTACTATGGAGATTGTACTTCGATAAATAATCAACCACCTTCATAGTACAGAAAACCCAGGGTTAACCCTGACGTTACAGAGATAAGGTGAAATCCTGCTTCGTAGTACAGTCCTCTGGGCAGCACAGATACATAAAAACTCTGGACTGACCTACTGAGTAAACAGTTGACAACTTAGTAGGATTGCTAATAAGGCAGATAAGACAAAGCTGTAGTACTGACAAAATTATTCACTCACCCATCTGAATCATGGAATTCAGAAGTTCCAATAACTTCCACTGCCACAGGTGTATAAAACCAAGCACCTTGGCATCCAGACTGCTTTTGCAAACATTTGTGAAAGAATGGGTCGCTCTCAGGAGCTCAGTAATTTCCATGATACTGTGATAGGATGCCACCTGTGCAAGTCCAACTATGAAATGTCCTCACTACTAAATATCCCACAGTCTACTGTCAACAGAGAGAATTAAAGCACTTTAAACAACTACTGTCACTAAGACAACAATATAATTCATGTTTGCCTTGTTTTTATATTTGTCATGTTTGTGACATAAAGTATATCTTGAACTGGCTTTGAAGTACAAGCTGTTTGGATTCTAGTATGTTGATTGATTGTTATGACTGATTGTTAAGGTTAGCTATATCGTCCTAAAACACAGCCTATTCATTATGTCCTCTGTAGCGCATAAAAACCGTTGAACTGAAAGATACTTTTTTCCTCGGTTCTCAGGAGGATAAGTCAGTGAAGAAACTCTGCTTTTACCCTTGCATCACATCCCTTTGTTTCAGAGACTCTTCTTATAATAACAGGAAATATTTGAGGAAGTGTCCTAGACTTAGAAACAGTTAGTGACTGACAGTATAGAGATATTCATCCAATCTAAACACTCCATCTGTGTCTTTGTAGGTCCGGTGGCAGTGATAAGTGGTGAGGAAGACTCTGCCAGTCCCCTTCATCATGTTAACCATGGGATCATTAGCCCCTGTACACTGGATGCTGGACCAGCTGCAGTGGTGATTGGAATGACTAGAATTCCTGTTATAGAGAACCCACAGTACTTCAGACATGGCCACAACTGCAACAAACCTACCACCTGTAAGTGAAAACATGTATTCAGTTTTCAGTTCGATTCACTTCAGTTTTACCTATATAGCACCAATTCACAACAACACTCTTGGAGTATTTTATATTGTAAGGTAAAGACAGAGGAAACCCAACAATCAGACGACCCCTATGAGTAAGCACTTGGGGATAGAAAAAGTCCCTTTTAACAGGAAGAACTGGTTGCAGAACAAGGCTCAGGGAAGTGAGTCCATCTGGCGCGACCATTTGGGGACGAGGGGAGGACAAAGACATGCTGTGAAATAGAACCAGAGATTAATAATAACTAATGTCTTGATGCATGCTCAATCAACCAGGTAAGTAAATGCCAGAAGCTTGATTCTGTTCATCTGGACGAAACGTTTTCAGTGAGAGAAGTGCGCTTTGACAGTCATCCAAGTGACTTCTTCAGTCTCAGCTGACTGCAGTTTCCCCCAACCTTATAAACAGTACATTTGCACAATAACTGAAACCAGCCCACTGAATGAACAATGGGCTGTGAGGTCAGGTCTTTGATCATTAATATCCAAATTGTCATGACCATTGATCAACAACCATTGATCAGACCACTGATCATTGATCGGAGACCATTGATTAGTCGCCATGAGTACCACTCACAGAGAGTTGGGGAATGGCTGCAATCACAGCAGCCACTGTGTACTCATTGTTAACAGTTCGATTACTGTGCTCTTAAAAAAATATCAATATGGACTTAAAATAGAGGTGGATTTAGTCTGATATATTTGTCTCTGAATAGCTTCCCCTTGAAAATGAGGGAACTGTTCAGATGCAGGTATTCAGATTCTCTCTCTCACACACACATACACACACAAATTTTGAGAGGAGAATATTTAAATGAATCTTACAATGATTCACTAAGGCAAACTGTGCTTTGCACTTGATATGGTTCTGGTGGAGCAGAGCTTCACACATTTCTGAGCATTAGAGGCAGGGACAAGAAACGCCACAAAAGGCCTTATACCCCTGACATTAAATGGTCAAATGCCAATAAACTGGTTCACTGTTAAATAAAATCTTGATGCTGATGTTTTTGAATAATTCCACAAAGTGTTATTCAGTCATGAAACTCATTGATTGTGTATGTAACAATGTTATCTTTGTTATCATTTTATTCCGATGATTATTATGATATGCACTTACTCTGCTGCCATCACCTTCCTCAGCTGTGGTAGCAGCTGTGTGTAAGAAACTCAATGATGATGAGTCCCATGGTATATTACAGTGGCATTAATTGTGACCCAGTGGTGGAACAGTTTTCAGTGTGTGTGTGTGTGTGTGTGTGTGTCTTAGATAACTTCCTCCTTAATGACAGTAACTGTACTAATTACCAAGCAGCCATATGATCACATAAATTTATATTAAAATAATTCCTTGCATAAATATACGCTATTTGAGATATAATATTAAGGTGTAATCGAAGCCCATTTTAGTCTCTGAAAATGTGTCATTCACTGCTACAGGCAGGAAAAATATCTGTTGTAAATAAAATCCACTTGTGCTAAATCCCAAAACAGTGTGTTCAAATGAAAAAAATCTTCTTTTTTTTAATCCACAAAACACATGTAAAAAAAACAAACCCAAAACTATTTTAGATCATCCACAGAGAACAGTTTCAGTAATCTTCTGTTTGATTAGTTTAAAGTAGATCTATTCATAAGTTTTGCAGTTTTATTCAACTTCATGATGTAAATTGTAGCCAACAGGTGGCAATCAAACATAAGCAGCGGGAATGAATACTTGGGAGGTTTCATTTGAGTGGCTGTTTTGTAGTAATAATAATGGCTGAAAACTCATTTCCTCCTTATCTCTGTCTTTTTCAGATGTTCAGCATATTAAGCGACGGGACATAATTCTGAAAAGAGAGCTTGGTGAGGGAGCCTTCGGTAAGGTGTTCCTGGCCGAGTGTTACAACCTGAGTCCCACTAAGGACAAGATGCTGGTGGCTGTAAAGGTAAGCTACATAGATGTAACTAGTGTGTGTGTGTGTGTGTGTGTGTGTGCGCTCAGAGCATTATAGAAACAGACTACTGTCTAAAGAGGCTTTAGCTCAGGTGGTAGAGCGGGTCATCTACTGATCGGAAGGTTGGTGGTTCGATCCCTGCCTTCCCCAGTCTGCATGCCAAATATCCTTGGGCAAGACACTAACCCCAAATTGCTCTCTGATGCATCCATCGGAGTATGTGTGTGTGAATGTTACCGTATTTCCCGGACTACAAAGCGCACCTGAATATTAGCCGCACAAGCTAAAATCAGGGGAAAATCCTGTTTTGTATATACATTACCGCACGTGACTAAAAGCCGCAGGTGTTTCAATGTTGACTTATCATATGTAAGAGAATATGCACAAAGGGAATTGTCAGGAAAAAGATGGCTGTTTGGAGACATCACTTTTATTAATATTTTGAAAAACAAGTTATGGGTATATATTTGCATAACTTTTTAGGTATATGTACAAGTAGTGGTAATTACAAGTACGAAACATGTACTGTGCTTCATAAATGAGTAACAAATGTAGTACATAACAATAACCTACAGCACACCAGAAAAATAGATCCGGACTACCTTTTAGGCTCAGGTGCAGTGACACGGCTTTAACAAGAAGAAAAGTCAGTCATTCACCACCATCTTCCTACGCACTAAAACCACCAAAGTCCTCTCCTCCAGTGTCGGATACGAACAGGCTCAGGCTCAGGCTTCGTCATCCACTCTCCGCTTCTTTCCTTCGTTGTCACTTTCAAAACCAAACAAATCCTCGTTGTCAGTGTCGGAGTCGAACACCCTCAGAAGGGCCGTGGCGGTGTCCTCCTCTCCATCATGCAGCAGTCCAGCCCTTCGAAATCCGTTGGTGATCGTGGATGTTTTCACACTTTTCCACGCTGTCAGATTCCACCGGTGGAGTTGAGCATAACTTGCTTTTCGCAAGTTTATCGCCGCTCGTCATCCACGACTCCCGCTGAATGCGTAGCGCTACTTTGAAGTTTGTTTTTCGCACTATGTTGCCTGGCGGATGGACATGTGACCAACATACCACTCTTGAACCCCGATACTGTGTGTCTGATCACACGCCCTTCCGCCAGGCAACGTAGTGCCGTACAACAGCGGAACAAACAAAACAAATCGTCTTAGGATGTGACAAAAATCATAGACAATCCATAGAAAAGCTGCACCTGACTAAAAGCCACAGGGTTCAAAACTTGTGCAAAAAGTAGCGGCTTGTAGCCCGACAATTACGGTACTTAGAAAGCACTTAGAAAAATGTGCTGGTGTGAATGGGTGAATGTACAGGTTGTGTACTTGTACATTGTGTACTTGTAGAAAAGCGCTATATAAGAACCAGTCCATTTACCATTTACTATGACCTGGATGACTGAGAACCTACACAGATGAGTCAGACTACTACACTCTCTTCGGTGTCTTTTAACTTGACCTCTGATGTTGCCCAACCCAAAACCCTGACTTCTTTAAAATATTTCTGGCCCATTCTTAAAAGCTGGGTCTGTGGCAGGAAATCAACCAATTTAAATCAACTCTACCAATTCTGCCAAGAACTGTGGTCAAATATCCAGCCAGAATTATGTCAGAAGCTTGGTGATGACTACCAAAAGCATCTGGTCGAAGTTAAAATATATTAGTGAAGGAATCTAAGCACTGTGTTGATTCAAACTGAGTTCAAAGAGCAATGGCAATAACCCTTCACAAACAGTGCAGTCTCTGCACATTTCTCATTAACATTGAGGTTATCATCCCTGTCCACTCAAAAAGCCAGTGTGAGTGTGAACACATCTCCATGAAACACTACAAACTGCATTCACAGTTTTCCTTTATTCTGTTAATAAGCTTACCTAGCTCGTCCACCCTATTTTCCAAGGACTTTACATCAATTACAGCTGGTACATCCTGTTTATATTTCTTCTTAGCTGTCCACTTACTTCATGGTCTGTCTCCCCTGTGGCTCCTTCAGAATTACAAGTCTTACTCCAGGCTGTAGGACATGAGATGCAAAACAATGAGTTATCTCAACTTAGTTGTGCAAGGAAGGTCAACCTTATCGGGTGATAAAGTCATTTAAAACAGCACAGCAACAACAATAATGGGAAGTGCTGTAACAGGCTGCCACTTAACAGGGTGCCAAAAAATGGAAGTCTGTGTGACAACTCACCGGTGTTAAGTACAGAAAATAACTGGCATTTGTGGTCAGATGCTGGCAGAATCTGGCCCAATTTAAGGATCATTTACTGTAAGTAATTAATGAAGTTTCTGTTGAAAAGTTCACGAGTGCATATAACTCCCTTGCTTTGAAAAGCTTATGGATATACACATGAGGGAGGACTGTTACCATAGCTATCCGAGCTATCCGAGTGTAACATTTGTGCTGTGATACCATTGTATGACAACAGAATACTCTCTGAATCTCCCAGACGCTGAAGGATCCCACACTTGCAGCCAGAAAGGATTTCCAGCGTGAGGCTGAGCTCCTCACTAACCTTCAACACGAGCATATAGTGAAGTTCTACGGAGTGTGTGTGGATGGAGACCCTCTCATCATGGTCTTTGAGTACATGAAGCACGGAGATCTCAATAAGTTTCTCAGGTAAGTCAAGCATTGAAGCAGCAGGTGTGTCTTTCTTCTTCTACAGGGTTTTGATGACAGTTTTACCAGTAGATTCTACTTGTAACAGTGCTATTCACTAATGTGTGTCTGTGAGAGATATGATGACAATATTAAAACATCTATCCATCCATCCATCCATTCGCTTCCGCTTATCCTTTTCAGGGTCGCGGGGGGCGCTGGAGCCTATCCCAGCTGTCATAGGGCGAGAGGCGGGGTACACCCTGGACAGGTCGCCGGTCTGTCGCAGGGCCAACACACAGGGACAGACAACCATTCGCACTCACATTCACTCGCACATTCACACATTAAAACATCTATTGTTTCATATTGTACTCTATTATTTATTTCGTGATGTTGCAAAACACACTGTTTACTGTCAACATTTTTCATTGCTTTAGATAACAGTAATGGTCACCAAAGAACTTCCTAAACGAGGGGCTACCTCTGTAGCATGGACATGGTTTATTATGGAAAGTCTGACACTAAGCAGGAAACTGTATTGAACAAATTACGCAGCAAACATGTCCTACAGACATTAACACAACAAACCTCTTCCACAACCTAAGCAAGACTCATAAAAGAGTATGGACTCAAAGGTTAGAACTGGCTTTTCCCAGTAGCACGCCATATAATAAAGACTCACGGAGATAATTGCAGCCATTACACTTCCATCTATAAATACAGTTATGGCCAAAATGATCGGCACCCCTGGAAGTTTTCCAAAAAATGCACAATTTCTCCCATAAAATTGTTACAATTACATTTGTTTTGGTGTACACATCTTTATTTCCTTTGTGTGCAGTGGATCAACATAAACAAACTTGAATTTGACAGCTTTTCCCACAAAATGCAAAAACTGGGCTGGACAAAATTATTGGCACCTTCAACTTAATATTTGGTTGCACTCTCTTTTGGTACTGCAATCATTCACTTCCTATGACCATCAACAAGCTTTTTACACCTCTCAACTGGAATTTTAGACCATTCTGCATTTGCAAACTGCTCAAGGCCCCTCAGATTTGAAGGGCACCTTCTCCCAACAGCAGTTTTGAGATCTCTCCATAAGTGTTCAATTGGATCTAGATCCGGACTCATTGCTGGCCACTTCAGAACTCTCCAGCACTTTGTCTTCAACCATTTCTGAGTGCTTTGAGAGATGTTTGGGGTCACTGTGTTGCTGGAACACCTATGACCTCTAATGCAGACCCAGCTTTCTGGCACTGGGCCCTACATTGACTTCCAAAATGTTTTGGTAGTCTTCAGATTTAGTGATGCCTTGCACACAGTCAAGACATCCACTGCCAGAAGCAGCAAAACATCCCCAAAACACCTTAGAACCTCCACCATGTTTGTCTGTGGTAGGTGTTGTGTTCTTTTCTTCGTAGGCCTCATTCCGTTTTCTGTGCAGAAGATTACGTTTTTTAAGTCGAACCGTCTTGCATTAAAATTGTCCTGAATGTCCTGCAATTCTAACAGTGCAACCCTCTGATGATTTTCTCATCAGAGCCCATGGGCCAGATGCCATGATCCTAGTGGATGGACAGCCTTTGCAGACGAGTGGTGAACTCGGTCTGTCCCAGATGCTTCATATAGCCAGCCAAATTGCAGCTGGGATGATCTACTTGGCATCTCAACACTTTGTGCATCGTGATCTGGCAACCAGGAACTGCTTGGTGGGGAATGGTCTTCTGGTCAAAATAGGAGATTTTGGCATGTCCAGAGACATTTACAGCACAGATTATTACAGGGTAAGGACATTTTTCTTCTTGTATTTTTGTCTTCCTCTTTTTTATCAAAACTGGAAATGTTTTCAAAGATGAGCAATGAAATGGTAAGTTTAATTAAGTGCAGCTCTTCACATATGGTACACTTATACTGTGAGGTGTTACAGCAGTAATCTGTGGAATGTTTACATTTACCTTCAAGTTATATTAGTAAAGCATGGTTATAAATCAAGTCAAATAATCAAATCTTTAAAAAAATCATGGACATTGTGCCTATACTGCATCAGTTTGGTTAATAAGGCCACCACTCTTCCCCTCACACCCCCTTCTCTGGTCTGTGGATTTTTGAGTCACTAATTTAGGCTGCTCAGTCAAAATGGTGGTTATTACTGAGGCGAACACGCTTTGCCCAGAACAATCTAAATTAGTTTTATTTGCAGATGGGCAACATTGCTAAATTGTAGACTTGTAGTCAAGATTGCCAAAACCAAGACCAAAACAATACCAAGACCAGAGGGTATCGAGACCAAGACGAGACCGAGACAAAAAAGTCTTTAAACTGCAGCCAGATGCTGCTTCGTTTACGGGTGTCAGGCATATTTATGTGTTTTTGCGATGCACTCGCACAGCCCTCCTCACCACTGTCTACTGTCTCACTCACTTACTGAGAGGACAGACGCACGCTCCACTTGACTGTCGCGTCTCTCACCCTCTCTGTTTTTCACATAATGATATTATCCTATATCCTCGCATGTGATTGGCCACAATATGGAGGGATTGGAGCATAGCTGAGCCACTGTGTGAAAGCTGAGCAGTGAAAGGAAATTGAGTGAGGAGCCGGCTCTCGCTCAATGGGAGTCGACTCTTCTTACTCACTACAAAGCACTCTCTAAGCACGGCGCTTAGAGCTGATGCTTTTGCACACAACACATTAACAAACGTAACGTTGTGTGTCATGGATACTGTTGACTCCAAATCTCCCGACCACTATGTCGATCTGAAGCTGCAAGACCGAGACAGCGAGACCAAGACCAGACCAAGACCAAAGTCCGTCAAACTAAGACAAGACAAAGACCACATAAAGTGGCCTTGTGACCGGATGTAGAGTTGGATGTCTCGAGACCGGTCTTGGTCTCGAGACATCCAACTCTACTGAATTGTTCATCATTAATGTAAGACCTGTAGTATCAAAAGCCTTTTTAAAAGGCAAGAAATACACAAAGTGTTTCTTCGTGAGTACCATTGCATTTGACATATCTTCTACACGTTTCATTACAGTTACACTGATGTGTTTACTCTGAAGACATATTGGTAAACGCTTAATGCCAGTTTATAAAAACAGCTTTTCTGAAATTTTCAAGAGCTGGAAAAGCAGAGGAATTGTTCTGTAACATCTGTTTTATGACAGGGACCTTTGCAAGTGCATCCAGAAAGCGTTGACAGCACTTCTTTTGTTCCACATTGTGTCATGTTACACCCTTATTCCAAAAGAGATTACATTTATTTATTTATTTTTCACCTCAAAATTTTACACATAATAGCCCATAATGATGAAGTGAAAAATTTTTGTGTGAAATTCCTGCAAATTTATTAAAAACAAAAATATGATATGTTCTATATATTTTCTGAATACAGGGTGGGCCATTTATATGGATACACCGTAATAAAATGGGAATGCTTGGTGATATTAAATTCCTGTTTGTGGCACATTAGTATATTCGAGGGGGCAAACTCCTCAAGATGGGTGGTGACCATGGTGGCCATTTAGACGTCGGCGATCTTGGATACAACTTTTGTATTTTCAATAGGAAGAGGGCCATGTGACACATCAAACTTATTATTGTCGCAAGTAATGTAATTGTCGCGCTGACCTAGTAGGTCTGTGTGGCTGTTACTCCTCTCTTCCTCCTCCTGCTCACTACCTGCTCTGTGCTGCTGCTTGCGCGTGGCCGCTAATTAGACCTTGTGCAATCTACAACTAAGCGCGGCCTGGTGCGAGCTGCTCCGCCAGGTGAGCTGAATTAGAGCAATCAAGGGCTGGCGTGCCTAGTAGACCTTAAAATGCATGCAGCAGTCATTTGACCTGGGTGCAACATACTGAGAGGACGGCAAACAAAGCACAATCCACTTTCCACTGTGAGGAAGACTTTGAGCTAGATGGGTTATCGGTTTTTCACCTATCCATCTACCTACCTACCTACCTACCTATCCATCTACCTATCCATCTATCTACCTATCAGCTATCTAACTAGCTGGTCAAAATAAAGTGAGTGAAATTCAAAGTCTGGTCTTTTTCAAGTGTGGGCACCTCACAGACAGAGAACACTTGACAGTAATGTTAAGTAATGTCACAAGAAAAACAATGGTGTGCTTGGTTTCACCGTAACTTTATTCTTTCATGAGTTATTTACAAGTTTCTGACCACTTATAAAATGTGTTCAATGTGCTGCCCATTGTGTTGGATTGTCAATGCAACCCTCTTCTCCCACTCTTCACACACTGATAGCAACACCGCAGGAGAAATGCCAGCACAGGCATCCAGCATCCATTGTTTCAGGTGCTGCACATCTCGTATCTTCACACCATAGACAATTGCCTTCAGATGACCCCAAAGATAAAAGTCTAAGTTCGGGAGACCTTGGGGGCCATTCAACTGGCCCACGACGACCAATCCACTTTCCAGGAAACTGTTCATCTAGGAATGCTCGGACCTGGCACCCATAATGTGGTGGTGCACCATCTTGCTGGGAAAACTCAGGGAACGTGCCAGCTTCAGTGCACAAAGAGAGAAACACATCATCATGTAGCAATTTCAAATATCCAGTGGCCTTGAGGTTTCCATTGATGAAGAATGGACCCACTATCGTTGTACCCCATATACCACACCAAACCATCACTTTTGTTGTTCCAACAGTCTTGGAGGGATCCATCCAATGTGGGTTAGTGTCAGACCAATAGCGGTGGTTTTGTTTGTTAACTTCACCATTCACGTTCATGAGTTATTTACAGGTTTCTCTTTGTTCACAACCATTGACATGTCGAAGAGGTTAACACGTGAGGAGCGGATCGAAATTGTGTTGATATCTGGTGAACGCAGTAACCGGGTCATTGCAGCAGATTTCAATGCAAGACACCCTACGAGACCACCCATCTCCCATGCTACAGTTAGCAAACTGCTTGCTAAGTTTTGTGAAACTGGTTCAGTGTTGGATTTGCCAAAATGTGGATGCAAGAAAACTGTCACTAATGAAGAAACATCAGTGGCTGTCCTAGCTTCATTCAGCAAGAGCCCACAGCGTGGCACTAGCCGCATGTCACTGGAGAGTGGCATTAGTCCAACATCCCTTCGGCAGATATTAGCTACTCACAAATGGCACCCTTACAAACTCCAGCTACTGCAGCATCTCAACGAGGATGACCCAGATCGGTGCACAGAATTTGCAGAATGGGCAAAACAAAAATTGGAACAGGACCCTCAGTTCATGCAGAAGATTTTGTTCAGTGATGAGGCAAACTTTTATGTGAATGGTGAAGTTAACAAACTTTGTTTGTTAACTTCTGGGTCAATCTGGGTCAATCTGGGTCATCCTCGTTGAGATGCTGCAGTAGCTGGAGTTTGTAAGGGTGCCATTTGTGAGTAGCTAATATCTGCCGAAGGGATGTTGGACTAATGCCACTCTCCAGTGACATGCGGCTAGTGCCACGCTGTGGGCTCTTGCTGAATGAAGCTAGGACAGCCACTGATGTTTCTTCATTAGTGACAGTTTTCTTGCATCCACATTTTGGCAAATCCAACACTGAACCAGTTTCACAAAACTTAGCAAGCAGTTTGCTAACTGTAGCATGGGAGATGGGTGGTCTCGTAGGGTGTCTTGCATTGAAATCTGCTGCAATGACCCGGTTACTGCGTTCACCAGATATCAACACAATTTCGATCCGCTCCTCACGTGTTAACCTCTTCGACATGTCAATGGTTGTGAACAAAGAGAAACCTGTAAATAACTCATGAACGTGAATGGTGAAGTTAACAAACAAAACCACCGCTATTGGTCTGACACTAACCCACATTGGATGGATCCCTCCAAGACTGTTGGAACAACAAAAGTGATGGTTTGGTGTGGTATATGGGGTACAACGATAGTGGGCTCTTTGGGGTCATCTGAAGGCAATTGTCTATGGTGTGAAGATACGAGATGTGCAGCACCTGAAACTACAGATACTGGATGCCTGTGCTGGCATTTCTCCTGCGGTGTTGCTATCAGTGTGTGAAGAGTGGGAGAATAGGGTTGCATTGACAATCCAACACAATGGGCAGCACATTGAACACATTTTATAAGTGGTCAGAAAATTGTAAATAACTCATGAAAGAATAAAGTTACGTTGAAACCAAGCACACCATTGTTTTTCTTGTGACATTACTTAACATTACATTACTTGTGACAATAATAAGTTTGATGTGTCACATGGCCCTCTGCCTATTGAAAAAACAAAAGTTGTATCCAAGATGGCCGACGTCTAAATGGCCATCATGGTCACCACCCATCTTGAGGAGTTTGCCCCCTCACATATACTAATGTGCCACAAACAGGACTTTAATATCACCAACCATTCACATTTTATTATGGTGTATCCATATAAATGGCCCACCCTGTACAGTGCACACATGAAGGCTAAAAATATAGACAACATTTTTAAACTTTAGATGGGCTATTCTGGTACATTTACATTTGGTGTATGGCATAATTTTCTTTTACATTTTCTGAAGACAGGTCATCTAAGTGTGATGTCATTCTTCTACAGCCATTGCATTGTGAAGTCAGCATTTATTTTATAACGTGTTAAAGCCAAGAAAATGTCTTTTGCTTGTTTGAGTAACTAAGTGGAATGTGTTACTTTGTTATCTGCAAAAAAGACTATGAGTGCCCAAAATTCAGTCCAGCATGAATTCATGTATTTACTTTTATATTCAAATGATTATCACAAATGTATAAGTCAGATTTGCCATGTTGATTCTGACTTGTTTGTGTACGTTTTGAAGTTATCATACTGCTTATACCTTTCCCATAAAGCATTTCAATGTGTGTGTATGTATCTGTATGTTCAGGTGGGAGGTCACACCATGCTGCCTATCCGCTGGATGCCCCCAGAGAGCATCATGTACAGAAAATTCACCACAGAAAGTGATGTGTGGAGCTTTGGCGTTATTCTGTGGGAGATCTTCACTTATGGAAAACAGCCATGGTTCCAGCTCGCCAATAATGAGGTAAACTATTATTTCAACACTGTCATTTGCTGAGGACATGATGTAATTACCAGGAACAAAACATTTGAACATTTTACTCAAATTAGCTTTTTCCCCTAGGGACCCAATTTATTAGTCCAGCTTTGTGAAAAAAAATAGAGGTGCATATATCACTGTAACTTAATGAGCAGAACTAATAGCCACTCTCATTTTACCTAACTTCTCCAAAAACTTATGAATTTCCACAAAATAATGTTGTAGGGTCTTTAACTTACATTGTAAAGCACCTTGAAGCAATTCTTGCTGTGCTTTTGTGCTATATAAATAAATTTCAGTTGGACTGAATCTGTCTTTTGGTGGTGTAATTTTCTTGGAATGCTCAGTTGGTGCCCTGTCTCTGACATCCCCTGTTATATGGAACTGGGCCTTCAATTTAGAGATGCTACTAGGACTCACTCCAGATACTTCTGCCACTTGGTTTTGCAGAACATCAGCTTATGGTTGCCCTATGGCACGAGTCCTAGCTAATTTAGTCAAACATGGCAAGTTCAGAACAGACACCAACTGACCACTGTAGCAGGGTCCAAACTCACAGGTATCCTTAATCAGATAACTGATTGTCAGTACCTTGGGTACCAGAAGCTCAAAAGAATTGTCAACAGCAATTGACAATAAGCTGTTTGTTGTTGTTTAGAGTCTAAGCTGTGTTTAATTACTACAATGTCAAGTGCTTGATGTAGTTTACAAGATACTGTAACCACTCCCTTTTGGATATAACAAATAAAACCAAACACCCTCAACTTAGACCAGAAAGTTACAGAGATACTCCAGGGGACTGAGACTTCTCTGCTGGATTACCACATCAACGGACTCTATCTCACCCAGAGAGGAGACACTGGGGCAGTGAGAGAGAGCACAAGTGGGATAAGTATGAAGGTATCTAGATTAGGCTAGCCACTAGCCTAAAGAGGCCATTCTGGCCAATGTTCACTCATTAAACAACAAAATTGATCCAGTATATCTTACACACAGTGCAAGATGTGCTTTTATTTTCATGGAATCCTGGACTACATCCTGGACTCTTCCATTCAGCTAGATCAGGTAACAATCTATCATGCCAACCAAGTCTTAATGGAAGGAGGAAGGACTTGTGGCAGGGCAGTGTTGATGTTTACATCAGCAGCGTTTGGTACTGAAATCTACTGCTGTGCACAAACACTGTTCTCCACTGTCGGAGTTTGTTATCATTAAGTGCCAACCAGTCTACCTAGCAAGGGAATTTACATTGATTGACCTTATTGCTGTTTGCATCCCTCCCACCACTAACGCCACAGCTAGGACCGTGGAAGATAACTACTGGATGCTGAGTACACCAAGTCAGGCTCTCTGATCACATCACCATCATTCTGAGACCTGCATACAGACCCAGAGTGAGGGCCTTCAGACCAACACAAAATCAGATGTGTGTAGCCAGAGGGGGCCTCCTCTGCTCTGAAGGATTGCTTCAGCACTACAAACTGGTACATCTGACCGGTGATCAGCATCGCGGAGCACGACGTCCGAACGGCATTGAGGAGAGTGAACACAAGGACAAGAAACAGGGTAACTATGTGAGAATGCTGTTTGTTTATTACAGTTCAGCGTTTAACACAATAGTGCCCTGCAGACTGTTCACAAAGCTCAGGGATCTGGGACTCAATAGCCGTCTGTGTGCTTGGGTGTTAGACTTCCCCACTGGCAGAACTCAGGTGGTGAGGGTGGGCAGATGTGTCTCTAACAGCATCACCATCAACACAGGAGCACCACAGGGATGTGTCCACCCACGGCTCCAACACCATTGTGAAGTTTGCTGACGACACAGTGGTGTTGGGCGCCATCTCCAACAACGATGAGACGGCCTATATGGATGAAGTGAAGAATCTGGCATCGTGGTGCCAGGAAAACCACCTCCAGCTGAACGTTGGCAAGACCAAGGAGCTGGTGGTGGACTTCAGAAGGAGTCAGCACAGAGACTACAAGCCCATTATCATCAATGGAGCTCCAGTGGAGAGGGTGCAGTCCTTCAAGTATCTCAGTCTCCACATCTCCTCAGACCTGACATGTCTGCCCACATTCAGGTCCAGACCAAAAAGGCTAGGCAGCGCCTGTATCACCTACGACAACTGAGGAAGTTCAGGGTCTCTCCAAAGATCCTCAGGATTTTCTATACAGGCGCTGTGGAGAGCATCCTCACACAGAACATGACATCGTGGTTTGGGAACAGCTGTGTGAAGGACCAAAAAGCTCTCCAGAGAGTGATCCGTACAGCAGAACGCTGCTGCAGGATTGCTCTCCCCCCGCTTCAGGACACCTACACCAGGAGATGCCGGACTAGAGCAACGCAGATACTGAAGGACCCGTCCCATCCTGGCAACAAACTGTTCCAACTTCTGCAATCTGGTAGAAGGTTCCGCATCTTCCGGGCAAGGACAGAGAGACTCAAGAGGAGCTTCTATCCCCAAGCCATCCGGGCCCTAACTATGCATGTGACAAATAAAAAACCTTGAACCTTGATCATCAAACAATCACCCACTTAAAACAGACATTAAGGAATACGCTGACGCTGTTGCAGCATACATTGCAAAATGCACTGATAATGTCACTCACTGCAAAACTGTTACTGTCCATGCTCACCAGAAGCCATCGCTCACAGGACAGGTTCATAGGCCCCCCAAGGCAGCCTTTAGGGCCGGTGACACTACAGGACTTGCAACAGCTATAGAAAACCTACCCTGTGGTATCAGGAAAACAAAATGACAGTACAGTAAGAAAATATCTGGTCCTTTCACAGTAACAACAGAGGTCTTTCTGCAGGGTCTTTCTGGTGTGGAATCCAATCCTCAGTGGACACTTGAGTGCCCATTGAGGTCATTACTGGCGTAACAAGGGAAGAGTCTGTTGATGATCTACAGATGACGACACAATTATTAGCCCCCCTATTAAAAATTAGGTCAAAATTATTACCCCAATCATGCTAAAAGTAGGTTGTGTATCCTTGTTGTAAGGTTTCATACATGTTTTCTGAGCAATCCCAGGCTATTTTTGTTGGACCTTAGTCTTCAGGTCACCCCGTGGGTTTCCAGTGGAATTTAAGTTAGAGTTTGAAGCAATAACCCAGACCCAGTTTTGCTTCAAAATCTTCACATATCCTTATTTTTTTCTTATGATGCAGATGACACAAACAAGTACAATCACTGGCTTTAACAATGTTCAGATTTTCCTCATACTCCTGGCATTAACAGGAAAACTCAGTAGATGTACTGCTTGGTTTCATTTGTAAGAAGGGTATTTAAAAGAAGTCTTCCTAAGGTTCAAACATTTTAACATTATTGTTAAAAGGCTGTTTTGTTTTCTAAAACTGTACTCTACAGGATAATATGTACCTGGATTATTTGTATGATGTAGTCATTATATACTGTGTGCATCACTTGTTGCCTGTCAGTGTAATGACACTCCACAATACAGCCATAGCCCCGGCCAGTGCATTGCACAACTGATGCAAGTCTGGTTGCGTAGCAGTCCTTTCTTAAACAAGACAGTAAAGTATCTCTGCTCAACTACTGGTCTCTGTGTCTTTACAGGTAATCGAGTGTATTACTCAAGGCAGAGTACTGGAGCGCCCAAGACTCTGTCCTAAGGAAATCTACGATATTATGCTTGGCTGCTGGCAGAGGGAACCGCAACAACGTCTCAACATTAAGGACATCCAGAAGATGCTGTTTACTTTGATGAAAGCCACACCAGTCTATCTGGACATACTGGGATAATAATAGCCCCAAGGAGACACTAATGGAATATATTCAAAGCACTGAATTGCCCCCGAACAGAAGTGATCTGTCTGCATACTCTGTGGATTGGGGGCTGAAAATACCCTGTTTTCATCTGCCAGATATTTGAGGACTGCAACTAACACATTGTATATTATGTTTATTTAACTGGACCAAAATGATCTGAATTGCATCAGTACCTAATAATCTGGAACCTGCAAATTCTATACCCATTTTGTTTTTTCAAATGGAATTGTAACTAAAAAGACTTAAGTATACAGTATATATTGCAACGATGTGGAGTGATTATGCTGATTGTTCTGATGTGGTATAGTTAAGGTGTCACATCATAATAATGTGGGTTTCACCCTGTTTTGATCATAGCAGCACTAGTTCTAATCAACTGTTAATAAACCCTGACCTGGACTGGTAGTTTACTGGTAGTAATCCTGCCCAGGATTACATTGATCTCAGTTGGTTTCACAAACCTTAAGTAACCTTCTAGTCTTCCTTTGGCTTATCTTCGCCAGGTCTTCATTTGTGAAATGTGAAAAGTCAGAAGGATTAATTTATTCTCTTTTTAATTATTTAAATTTTTATCTGTGCCCAAGCTGGTCAATTTCCCAAAATCTTTCTCATACCTTGGGTTGCAATGGTAGCCATCTTTAATCTAAAGTAATGATGGTGACTATAAAGTTTCAAAGTACTAGCATTTCTGTTTTCTGTTTTTAACTTTTGGCTACCCCAGAAACCAATGGCAGAGCCAAAATATTTTCAGGGGTGGCCAGGCTGAAAGGCTGAGGTTGAGCACAGAAAATTCACTTTCTTTTTAGAGCCCTTTCCATCCCCCCTTTTTCAGAGAAACAGTATTCACTAGATGTAATTCAGTTTCGTGGATCAGCACATGGATCCCTAAAACGTTTTGCTGTTGGTTGTTTATGTTACACTGTGGCCACAATTTGGCTCTGCCTCTGCCTGAAACCACCAACAGTCTTGTGACTTGTGACACAGTTGTTCTGACGCAGGTATTTGGGGAATAGACCACAGTTATTGAGCATTTACAAAGACCAGATAGTTGTATCTTAATGTCAAGGAAATGTGTAGTTTGTGTGACCATGTGCAGATTATATTTCTTGACTTTTCTTTCTGTTCATGTATAAATTAAGGAAGGAGGTGAAAAAATAGAACAATGCACATAAATCAAATATTTCATGTACAGCAGCTGCTACACATGACTGCTGTTCTTAAGTGCTAGTTCAGTGGCAGCTTGCAACACAGTTTTTATCTGAAACATCATTGTTACAACACTTTTAAGTCCTGAGCTCATGATAGCTCACTGAGCTGCTTAGCTTTACAAGACCCTGACCATACCTTCCAATCCTGAGCCTGGAAGCATGGCCTGAGTGACTGTCTGCCACTATAGAAATGGACCTAAGTGCCTCCTACTTCTTTCTGAACACTAGGAACCAGGAAAGTAGTCTTTCAAAATAATAGCACTTTTACATTTTGTTTACCTGCCTAATGGCCACTAGCTGTAAACTCTTGTTTTTCTTATTACCTAGTTTCATAAGTATCTACTGTATTTAAAAAAAATTAAATTTAAAGCAAAAAAAAAAAAAAATTAAAAGCCAAACTACCCAACGTGAAATTGAAATTACATTACATATACACTAACCAGTCAATTTATTAGGTATACCTGTTAAACTGGTCATTAGCATAAGTATTAAATCAGCCAATCGCATGACAGCAACCCAGTATATTTAGACATATTTAGACATTGTTGTTGACCATAACTATGATCACAGTATACCCATCTTTTGGGGTGTGGTGAGACCACAGCTTCACGTTGTGGATGTAGAACCAAAAAAACTGTACTAACTGTGTCAGCATGGATCAGAATCTCTGAGAAATGTTTGGGGTACCTTGTTGATTTTATGGCGCAAAGAATTATGGCAGTTTTGAAATTAGAAACTGGCCCAACTCACTATTAGCAAGGTGTGCTACTAGACCGTTTACAAATAACCTTTTGCCATTTTCCAAAGCTAAAAAAAATGAATGAACTGATATATGTGTGAACTGAAAGGATAATACTTGAGACACTAGGATGTATATACTGTAAATCTGTCTGTCTTAAGATATTTATTTTGTTTTCCTATGTTGGATTATTTTCTTGTTTCTCAATATGTTATTATATGATTAATTTAAATCTAATAGATCTTTTGATTTGCTTTCCAGTTGTAATTTACTGTCACGAGTTGCATTTATCTCATTAGAGACTGGCTAAAAAAAATCTAGATTTAAGAAATGTCAATTTGTTTTGTGTCATTTTATACTATGCATCCATCGATTCATCCATATTCTTCCTCTTATCCAATTCAGGGTTGTGAGGCATTTCATATAATTGAAATAAATTAATAAAAAATAATAAGTCAGGAAAACCGATTAAAACTACAAAGTTACAAATGCTAAAAAGTCAATGTTTTATTGCCCTCTTCAAGAACTGTTCAAGGATCAAATGCATTCTTTAATTTAAAAGAAATAGTTTGTCATTCATCGACCACAGTCAAAAAATGACAACACTTTCATCAGTGTGTCTAATGATGTGTCGTGCACCTAGTCTCTACACTGTATTTGAGATTTTAACTGTTTTGTCCATACTGGCCTAAAGAATTTAAAATCTAGTCTCACAAGGAATTCAGTGCATAAAGTTGTTAACTTCATATGCTCTTGGGTCAATGAGTGAGTACTGGGTTTAGCATTGCCTTACTGACTCTATACCTCAGTTTTCAGCGAGCATCATGAGATGCAGGAATCGGTATTTTTCTTTATGTTACTTGAATCAACAAAGGGCAGCAGCATGCTGTCCATTAGCTTGATACATGAAACCCCTCCTAAGCCATTAGAAGAGTCATCTGAAGAGCAAAATGAAAAGCCTTTAATTAATTATTTATTGATATTTGAATGTATCATCAGTCTACAGTGAAAGACAGACTTCATTTATTCCGTCCCTTATTGTTAAATGAGACAGATTTACAATACTGTGAGTCACTGTCATCCTATTCTGTGCGTGATGTTTGAGTGTCACGTAGTTGGTGTTGGTTTTTATAAGATTTTGTTTCCCAAAAGTGTATTTATTCTAAAACAGTTCATCTAAAATAACTGAACATATACCTGGGATTTGCATTGATATATAGGTATATTGTATAAACATTAAGCAGGTGCATCACCTGCATTGCCTGGGTAGTATGAAGAAATCTCATTCTGTATCTTTTCTAAATTTAGATTAGAGCTGTGTAATTAAAGATATGTGCATTTCTAAACTGCAATCCTAATGCTAGGATAAAACATGATCAAAGTTATCTTACAGTAGACTTGCTTACCAAGTATCATCCATAATGTGAACTCTTGTTTCTAAGCTATTCATTTCATTTGAGCAAATTGATTATATTTGCATTAGTGTCAGTGCTTTAAATTGTGTCTTTCTCTCACTATGAGTGTTTGCTTACTCCAAGTCCTCCAGGAAGTCAGTATTACTTAGTGAATTACAGAATTAAATTTTGTTTCATTTGTTTTCTACACACAAAAGAAAATCCAGATTTTAGAGAAATTTCAACACATTTCTAGAAAAAGTCGGTTGCACAGAACTCTAAACATAAAATCAAAGAAGTTAACTCTTTCAACATGAAACACAGCACCCTCAAAACTGATTCTTTCCAACTAAACAACACAAACAGCTATTATACGATTAAGAGAGAATAAAAAACACTGATTGGATCAATTCAAAACCTACCATCAGAGGTGTTTGACTATGTCTTGGCTTGGCTTGGCCATGGTACATACTTTTTTTTGTTTTGGAAAAGTATACATGTTTATTTTTATTTTGTCCTTAGATACCATTTACAGTTATCTAGTGCATTATAACCTTTGTAATGGAAATAAATGAGAAACAAAACAAAGCAAATCAGTGCACAGATTTTTAGAAAAAACGTAACAAACAAAACATTTATTTGTTACCACAATACAAAGTTTTCAGATGAACTGACAAAAATAAAAGAATGCCTTCTTCCTCCTAGGCTTTTTTCTTACCTTTCCTCTTCCTTTGTGTTTTGGTTGCTTCATCTTCTCCGTATCACTTGAAGCTGATGCTATCCTCTGATACAGGATCGTTCTTCCGGTTGAGTGGTTCAAAGGAGGAGCATGAGCGAGATGAATTAATAGTCAGAGTGTACTTTGAGGCCATGTTTCTAGAACAAAATGTGTTTGTGTTCAGAGATTTGCAAAACTGTGATTTAGATTTGAGTGAGAGCAGTGGAACTCTTCCTAGCAGCTTGGAGTTATGATGATGATACAAAAACTTTATATTTTTACAATTTTGTACATAGTTCCACTTTTTGTTTGTAAGAAATGGGCAAAAGATCATTCATCTCAATTTTATTTTTATGCTCAAGCCAAAATTAGGGACCCAACAAGCCATGTTAGAAGAAACTGAAGAACAGAACCATATTCAATTCAGTTCAGTTCAATTTTATTTATATAGCTCCAAATCAGAACAACACTCATCTCAGGGTGCTTCATACTGTAAGGTAAAGACCCTACAATAATATGGAGAAAACCTTTACAATCAAACAACATCCTTGGTAACACTGGGAAGAAAAAACTATCTTTTAACAGGAAGAAACCTCCAGCAGAACCAGGCTCAGGGAGGGGCAGCTATGAGTGGTTAACCTTATCCTGTTTTCTCAAGAGACTTTCCTAAATGCTGCAAGCATGCTATTTTGATACATGCAAGCTTCCTGGAGGACACAATTGGCTAGCAAAATACATCAAATTGTATTACAAAACAGAAATCACCAGATAAATGTTTCCTGTATGATCAAGCCTTAAGCTTTCACAGACTGACAATCTTGGTTGTTTCTAATGATATTTGGGTTAAATGAAATCTTTCTCTCTGTTTGCTCTTTGTATTCTTCTTTTTCGTCTATTTTGTTCTCATTTATTCTCTTCCCCTTTCCCACTGTCACTTCACCATACAAAGTTTCTAAGCTGAATATGTAAGAAACATCATTACTCTATTAAGAATCCATGTCTTTTCTAATTGTTGTATATCCATCTCAACACATATGTATGTGAATCATTTGACTTATAAAACTTGTATAACATCTTTCTGAAAAGCTTAGACGTGGTGATTTTTTAAGGTGGCTCTGTGTATCATTCTGACTCTCAATTCTCATTAAAACTGACTTCAATGATCTTTGCGTTCACTTATTTTTTAACCAGAAAAAAGGGGAAATAAGTGACTCATACTCATTATGTAACATCAATTCCCTACTTCAAAATTATATTATTCCCCAGACATTTATATACATATCTGGAAACTGTGGCTCAGTTTCTCAAAGCTCTGAACACAAACTGTGTTAATTGGTTTGTTTTAATTGTTAATTGGTTCATCAAAACTCTCCATCTTGCGAAATGAAAATGCAGCACTCAAAACCATAGCATAGCTTGAGTAGTAAAAATGACTGTTCTGATGGCTGAGTTTTGTTTGTGTGTGTGTGTGTGTGTGTGTGTGTGTGTGTGTGTGTGTGTGTGTGTGTGTGTGTGTGTGTGTGTGTGTGTGTGTGTGTGTGTGTGTGTGAGAGAGAGCTTCAACCTTAAGAGTTTTGTGTGTATCTGGAGGAATCCAGGAAGATAAGAAGTGTGTCAAACTGAGAGCTGATTCCACATAAGAGAGGTCTGAAAGCTGAAGGCTCTGCCTCCCATTCTACTTTTAAATAACCTAAAAATCACAAGTAAGCCTGCAGTCTGAGAGAGAAGTAATCTATTGGGGTGATACAGTACTATGAGGTCTGATTAGTCTGTGCTTTGGGGCGTAGCCAGGCAAGCTTAAAGAATTATAAATAAATACATGTACATATGAACATACCCTGTACATGTGGAAAACTGTCCCTCGGTCCTCATTGGTCAACTCACCATTTTTTATGTCTCTCTCTCTCTCTCTCTCCTTCTTTCTCTCTCCTTTTCTCTCTTTACTCTGTTGTGTGTGTGTTCTGGTTTTGGTGCAGAAGTGGGACTTTCGGGGTTCCTGGCCTAATCACTCACCTGCTTCTGATTACCTCTTTGTACCTTCTTCCTACCTGTCCAGATGCTCTACGGGCTAAGGAAGGCCAATTCTTCTGCATCTTAACCATGGGGACAAAGGACCTCAGGCCTCAGCTAGAGACTTTTCACAGGCGTAACTTAAAAGTCCTCCAAGCATTATTGCCTTCCAACTGGAGAATTCCCTGCTACAGAATGGTCAGCTATGTTTGGATTGAAAGACATTCGCCAAATAGTTTAAAAACTGTGGACAGCCATACTAGAGTCTCTGATTTTTATTGGAGATTATGTATCGGAATTTCAGGAGCGGGACCACGCCTCCAAACACGCTCCTTCCAGTTGTCATCTGTATAGGTTCCCCCAGTTCTGCAAGCTGTTCATTCTAGTTTACGTGCCCCACCCTCCCTTCCTCCCTCCTTGTTCTCAGTTCTTTAACTTCTTCATTTCTGTTTAGTGCACGGGGATCTGCCAGGCCCGGGAGCCATTGCCAGTCCCCTTCGATGCCTTCCCCAAACAGCAGCTCAATTCATGTCAAAGCATTTACTTTTACCTAATAAAACGCTGTTAAACCTAAAATGAGGACGTGGGCCCAGCTAGTGAATTAGCACACTAAACTTTGACTTGGAACTCCACGTGAATCCAATTTGTGTCCATACCTTGACAGAATGATCCGATGGACCCAGCCGGCTCGGGTCAAGTGAGTTGCGCCCTTGCAAACCAACGAGAACAGCTGGGCTGGCACGAAGAAATGCTGCAGCACATCTCAGGAGAAATGAACACAATCACCCTTCACTTGGGTGAAGTGAAAGGTATGATGCAAACACATGTAACTGAATTTCTGGTTAACCTACCTGTTCGTCACAGCCCCGCACCACCTGTTGTTCTGCAGCCATCGCCGCCACCCAATTTTCTGAAAAGGCCTTTACCTACGCCTGAGTTAGTTAGAGAAAGATGGTGAGTTAGAGAAACATGGGGGTTTTCCATACCAAAAGTTGTGCCCACCAATAACGATGGGGTTATTGGCGGGCAAAGTCTCTAGTGTTTCATGTTTGCTGGAAACATGCCAAGACTCATGCTTCTAGCTAAAATCTCAGTCAGCGGTCAAACGTACTTCCTCAAAGCTTTAATTGATTCCGGAGTCAAATAGTATTGATCACTCTCTTGCTGCTCATTCATATTTATCTCCCGTTCCGCTTCCTGAACCTTTCTCCCTGTCTGCTGGACACAACACATAGAACTCAGGCCATAACTCAGACTAATTTCCTTGACATCATTACTGGAGTAAGTCACTGCCAAACTGCCAAGCACTGGGTCCATCTATGGGTCTTTTGGTTGGGACTTGTTCTTTGTAGAAAAGAAAGATAAATCGCTCCATCCTTGACTTTCATGGCCTAAATAAAGTCATGGTAAAATATCCACTTTCCCTACTCTAATTCCTCCAAGGTGCTACTATGTTCACAAAAACTGGACCTCCATAATACCTACCATTTCGTTAGGATAAAGGAAGGAGATGAAAGAAAACACATTTATGTAACTTTGAATATCTGGTTATGCCCTTCAGTCTAACAAGCACTCCAGCAGTCAAAAGTTTGAACACACCTTCAAATTTAATGGTTTTTCTTTATTTACATTGTAGATTCTCACTGAAGGCATCAAAACTATGAATTAACACAAGTGGAATTATGTAGTAAACCAAAAGTGCAAAATAACTCAAAACATGTTTTATATTTTAGATTCTTCAAATTAGCCCTCCTTTGCTTTGATTGCTGCTTTGCACACTCTTGGCATTCTCTTGATGAGCTTCATGAGGTTGTCACCTGAAAAGGTTTTCCAAAAGTCTTGAAGGAGTTTCCAGAGATGTTGAGCACTTGTTGGCCCTTTTGCCTTCATCTCATCCCAAACCATTTCAATTGGGTTTAGGTCAGGTGACTGTGGCCATCTGGCGCAGCACTCCATCACCCTCCTTCCGGGTCAAATAGCCCTTACGCAGCTTTGAGGTGTGCTTGGGGTCATTGTCCTGTTGAAAAATAAATGATGGTCCAACTAAAAGCAAACCGGATAGGATGGCATGTTGCTGCAGGATGCTGTGGTAACCATGTTGGTTCAGCGTGCCTTCAATTTTCAATAAATCCCCAACAGTGTTACCAGCAAAGCATTTCAGGTGACTACACCATGAAGCACATTGAGAGAAGGCCAAGGGTTTAAAGCGCTGTCAATAAAGCAAAGGGTAGCTACTTTGAGGAATCTAAAATATAAGGCAATGCATGTGTTATTGAGTTATTTATCAATTTTTTCTTTGCTACAAGATTCCATATATCTTGCTTCATATATCTGATGTCTTCAGTATGTGTCTACAGCTGGGGTGGGCAACTCCAGGCCTCGAGGGCCGGTGTCCTGCAGGTTTTTGCTATTACCCTGGGTCAACACACCTGAATTTAACCATTTGAATCAGCTGTGTTGGATCAAGGAAACATCTAAAACCTGCAGGACACTGGCCCTCAAGGCCAGTAGTTGCCCACCCCTGGTCTACAGTGTAGAAAGTAGTCAAAATAAAGAAAAACCATTAAATGACAAGTTATGTCCAAACTTTTGACTGGCAATGCACCTTGATGACGTACTCATTTTTATTTTACATAAACACAGGCAGGGCTCTAAATCAAACTTGTGTCCAAACCTTGAAATATCTAACAGTGTGAACAGATAGAATCAAGGTTTCAATATCACAGTAAGTCTCAAGCAGGGAACTTTCAAACATCTTCAAGCACCTTGCCTAGTGACTCCAAGAAGTTTGGGTACACTGAACTGTTATTTGTCACATAAGCATAAACAACAGTCTTGACCTTTTCCCCAAGCCAAGGGCGTGGAGAAGCAAATCTCTAATACACCAGGGAAAACAGATTCAGTTGTTGAATTGAGGTACAGATACAACTCTACCCAACCTTGTCATCTGCATCTCAGCAACTCCAGATTGGTCCAGCCCCTCTCCACCACCTGGTTCCAGAGCTCAACCTGTGCATTTAGACAAGCCCAACTTTATCTATATGTATCTAACTAGAGGTTGCCAGCTACATTTTACACCTTATTACTGTAGGGTCTTTACATTACAATAAGCACTTTGAGGTGACCATTACTGTGATTTGGCGTGATTCAGCACTGGTCTTTTTGACAGCTGTGCCAACTGTGATAGGATTTATGTATTACAAGGGGGACACATTATATTATCATTTTAATTTTCATTAGGTTTTTTATCTAGATTGTCAACCATGAAATTTGATCCTCAGAAGGGACATGAGCCAAGTCACACACAGACACAGCAAATCCATATCATTTGTTAACTGAAGCTGGAATCCTTACTGCATAGCACACACCACACACAGGCTTGTACTGCTCTTTGTGACCTTTAAGTATAGAGTTGCATGGTAAATGCTTGCCTATCAGCCTCCACATGGTCTGGAGTGAATTTATCAGCAATAATAAGGGAGTAGTCTTTTGGTGCCAATGAATTTTTAAAGGAGACATGATACAACTGACTGACCACATACTACAGACCGCTGCTCTCTTCTTAATGTTTTTTTTAGAGGCATATTTACTGCAGCTCATGAAAGCAGCTTGCTACTATAATAGTAGTGGGTTAGGTTGTGCTATTGTATGTGTGTTTATTTTATTAAAAGAAATCACAAATTATATTAATTCTTGTGTTTAGATATAATTTTTACAATACAGGAAAGCAGAACTACATCATGCTGTTGGACCTCGGTTGGATGTTTGCACAAGGACACTTTTTAAAAAATTCTTTTGGACTATTTTGGAAAAACAATTTGGTTTGAGATGTCAGTCAGTGTACTGAACATATACATTGTGTCTGTTGACAGAATAAACATTTCATTGACACTCTTCATGGACCCACATGAATACACCTTTACAAATCATGTTTGATCAGCTTCCAAACTACAGTGATTTCCATGTCTCCTTAAGGCCATGGGGCAGTAAGCTTTGATGTTTAATTGGATCCAGTTGAAAGCTATCATTTGTAGCCATCACATTAGGAATAAACAGCAGCATTAAAAGAATCAGCTCCCATTAAGATTTACTAAGCGTTACTACTCTGTCTGCTAAATTCGTTCAATATATGTATATCA